GACCCAGGACACTTTGGAGAGGTTACATCTCTAATCTGGTCCGGGAACGCCTTGGGGTCCTGCCGGAGGGACTGGTGGAGGTGGCCGAGGAGAGGACGGTCTGGAGCTCCCTAGTTGGGATGCTGCCCCCGTGACCCAGACCCGGATAAGCGGAGGAAGACGACGACGACGAGACGATGATGACGACGAAACAATTAATGTATTGGTTGCCACCAGTATGTGAAGGGCATTTTAAGAAATGAAGCAAAAAAATGGTACAGGAAAAACAGGCTGAATGTGAAAATGGCCCTCTATTACCTTTGTTTCCTGTATTAGATAGAAAATAGACAGGAAAATGCTCAGGTCAGGAAAAGCCACATTGATCTATGGCACACAGTAAATTAGCATTCATGGACTCATCCATCTTGGCTCATGACAGGGAAGGCTGCTGTTGACTTAGCATCCAGCAGAGAACTGAGCATGTCTCGGCTAGTAGAAGCTAACATTAGCTTAGCATTAACAAGTCCACAACATGGCAGAACAAATGGAAGGATTGGATGTCTTGTTGCTGTTAGCCAATCAGAGACGAGATGGCTGAATAATAATGAGTAAGACTTCAAAACCTTCCATTTTCTGGCCCCCCTTAACTAACTTCAACTTCCTGAATCAAAAGCGCCAAAGCTTTATTCCACAAAGAACAGCTCACAAGGCATTCAATTTATGCTAAAGACCTCTCTGCAAGTATATAAAAAATGAGTGAAATGAGAGCTTTAGAGATGAAGAGCTCCTTCACCTCAGGGGAGCTGTTGCTCTTCCACATAGGGAGCCTAAGTCCGTGAATTTTAAAGACACATTTTGATACCAAGAACGCGCTTCTTTTTGAACGGGAGAAATTCTACTTTAGGTTTTGTGTGAAAATACGTCCAGGACTACAAATGCACATCACCAATTCAACGTCATCAAACCAGAAAAGCAGAGGAAAACTGACTGTAAGTTCAGCGAACATCAAATTCTTCACTCGGGAGGATAAATTCACCATAAATCTTGCCATTTGGTAAGTCGCAGCTATGCTGGAGGAATGGAGAGTCTGCTGATGTCTGATTTGTAGTCATGCTAATTTACAAACTTTTACAAGCTGATAAATCTCAAAGTACGCAACAGGCATGGTAAAAACACACAATTACTTTTCATTTAAATAGAAGTACAACATAGGTGTGATCCAGGGCGTAAGGCAAAGAGGATTAGAAAATAGCTCTTTTAGCCCTGTTGACTTGGAAGGGGAGGAGACTCTATCGTAATAAGTGTAGTAAGTGCTCCCTACCGTTAAACACCCACCAGATATGACAATGTATTAATCTCCTTACTGTGTATGACTCATCCTCGCATGTCATCTAGAAACTGTAACTGGCAACAGCCCATGAAACTCACAGAACGGAATTTTTGCTTAAAATGGACTGCAGTAACCACAGTTGACTGCAGGATGTCAGTCTTACAAATTGCACCTTTAAGAAAATCCTATGTTGTTCAACCTACAGAGGTGTGAAGCACTAGAGTCATTTAAATGCAGACATGAATGTAAGAGACACAGAAACCACACTCCAAGAACGTTTTTCACAGGATCAAAGGGAAGCCACTGTTGGTCCATTTTAATGATTCTTCCAGTGAAAATATGTAGACCAGTTTCTGCTTCTGCAATTACAGTGGGAGAGCGCTCAGACTACTTCCTGTGTCTGTGAGATACATACATATGTAATAGTCGTATTCTATCAACCTGCAGCCTTACGATTACGGGGCGGGCCCTCAACTCCTCTGCTACCATTGCTGTTTCCAATTCCTGTTTCCAATTTCTGTTATTGGCACCGGTAGTTCACAGGAATGCATTGATGATTTAATAATTGTGTTTGCTGTTGGTCAAAATAACTGATAAAATATCAAAAATATTGCATCATGTCTGTTTGTTTTTGGATCAAATAAATAAAAGAATTAATAGCCGATTAAATCTGATGACCTTCCGAAGACATTTTCCAAAATAATTTAACTGTTTAGCTGCGTTTATCCTGAGCACACATACCTTTACTTGTGATCTGTGTTTAAAAAGACAAAGCATCATCTGAGGACCAGATGTTGTTTCTCTTCGTGAAAACTTTAAATCGAGTAAAGACACACAAACAGCTCTTTGAGGTGTGAACTGAATCTGAGTTATGCAGCTGTGAGATTAAAGCCAATTATTGAGTCATTATGCAAACTCATCTAAGCAAGCCATGAATCTCATCCGTTTCCCTGCTTTGCCATTAGTTTTGCATTGGTCTTTCATGCTCACCTGACCTCGGTAATGAAACCTCACATTCCATCAAATAAAGTGCTTGAGTGCTTGGATCATTTTCATATGAGCTCTTTTGCTGCTTTTTCACCACAATAGTTATCCAAATTATGACAAATACCCCAAGAGAATTGCTCTGACCCTTCAATTGCCTCTGAATTTTATAGACCTATAATCTCAAACTAGAAAAGAACTTGTGGTAAAAAAAAAAATACCTCAAGCATGTTTACTTTCCATTAAATTCCCACAAGGTGCTTTTATATTACAAGTGCTGTATTGGATGAATCAGGAAGTTAAGCCTGACCCTAACCCTTGGCCTGTAAATAACAATAATAAAGAAAACACTTGAGGAGAAATGAGTCTTGTTCCTCAATTTATAAATCAGGACAGTAAACTGATGTTTTGTGTGAAAAAAATGAAGATGCTTCTTTCTGCAAAAAAAAAAAAAAAAAAAACCCTCATCTGGCATTAGAACATCCTTACAGCAACAATGAGTGAGGTGCAGATTACATCCAAGTTGATTTTCTTTTTTTCTCATTTGTTTCAGCTTTGTAGAGATTTTACTGAATGTTAAAATTTGAGCCTTTCAGAGTTTCATAATTTGTCCTTCAGATGTTTTGGCTCTCAGTGAGAACTTTTGTGTTGTTGTTTCTGGCTGCAACAGTTACTTGTGTTGCTGAAAGCTGTTAAAAACCAGTCAGAGACTGCCTGCTTATCACCAAACACCAGATAACATTACTCTCGGACACAATGGATCACTTAGCAGCTAAGGATTTGTGCAACCTGGGGACCTTTTCAGTTACTCTTAATTGTCTAGAGATTCCTAAATTAATTTCTGCTAGAAGGAAATATCCTGGATGTGCAGCTACAAAGCCTTTCCACGTCCTCATGTCAGAGCACATTTCCCTACCACAATCATTTTCAGTTGGCAAAAAGATTCCAAAAAGCATGTGTGTGTGTGTGTGTGTGTGTGTGTGTGTGTGTGTGTGTGTGTGTGTGTGTGTGTGTGTGAGGGGGTTGGTCAAAACGCTTTGAGGGCAGAGTGCTTTACAATCAATAATAGCGGTGAGATGGCTGACTATAATAAAAAAAACATTCTCCACACTTAGTACTTTTTATGCTAAATTCATCTTTTGCATCTTTTTGCTGCCATGTGGGCCTCTACTGCCTCTATAAACACCCCAAAGTTGAAATAAAAAACATCCATCCCTTTTCTCAGTGTTTGGCTTTACCAGTTTTAGGTCTTAAACAAGCCGTTTCAAAAAGCCCTCGTTTGTGATGTCGTTGTGAGAATCCCAGAATGGCCGGTGTGCTCTTGGACATTGTCGGCACCCCCCCCCCCCCCTCCCCCCCCCCACACACACGCACACACCCGACTCCCGCTCAAACATCCCAGACAGAGGGTCAAGCAGACTGCAGCAACAATCCGCCTCCTATCTATGTGTAGAAGTTAATGCAGAGTATTCTTAAAAATAGAGGCAGAGCTCTTTTTTTCTCCACCACCACCACCACCACCACCCCACCCCCCACCCACACTCTAATGAATACGGCCAGACAAACAGAGATATTCCAGGGATGAATTATCATCCCGGTTCACCCCTGTGTGCAAGAGACAGCAGCTCTTCTCCGAGCCCCTCCTAGATATCGGAGCTTCTCAGCTTACAGCAGCTTGAGCAGGGGTTGGATGGGTGTGGCCAGATCAAATTTGTTTTCTTAAAGTGACAGAGCCCTGAAATGGCTCAGTCTGGAAGGTACCGAAAATCTTGACAAATAAACACTGAAATCGATTTACGTGAGAGGGATGTAGTTCATAGAACTTCCTAACCACTGGTTTTATTGACTAGAGCCATCATAACTTAAGAAAAAAAATGTCCCCTTTTAACAAAACACAATTGAGTTTATCGTGTCATAAAAATCTATTGCTGGAGTTGGAAGTGTACTAAATGGGCTAAAGTATTCACTAAAGTTGTGATTTGGATGTTGTATTTGTGTTTCTTTTTGATTCACATGCTAAAATAAAATCTACCATTTAGAACGTTATACTGTGAATATGTATTTTATTTTTGACAGCTTTTTTTCTGTTTTTGCTTTAAATTCAATAGCATTCAAATATGAGTTGAGTGGATAAATATGGTTTATGTTTCTTTTATTATGATAAAAACTGAAGATGGCTGAAAAAGGAGAAATCCCTAAATGAATGAATGGATGGATAATTGTGACTCTAGTTGTGAAGTTTGTACTCTAAAAGATGGTTAAGTACATTGAATTGTCTCGGTGTTTGAAACATGCTATACAATAAAGCTGCCTTGCCCTTAGTGAACTAAATAATCTTCACTCTGTAATCTGGAGCCTAATTTGAATCACAAGTTGGTTCTTTTCAAACTTTCAGGACAGCCAATGAAACAAAAACGTCACAAATATGAACAGATCCTTGTTTAAATGTAGCTGTAATCATTTTTCCTACTTTTACTCCAGGTACAGGCTGAGAGCGGATGAGACACAATTTTTAGTTCGTCATTTCTGATCTTTAACACCAGCACTGGCTACCTGGACCCTTCCAGGGCTGTTCCACTCCATCTGTAAACCATTTGATATCATAAGGGGAAGAAAAGAAAAACAATGCTGCTAACAAAACAACCCAGTGGTGATCTGCTGAGAGAGGAGGGGAGGGCTGATGGAGGCAGAGGTATAAATGGGACAGTGGAGGAGGGGATTGAAGCAGAGTTCAAAAACACGAGACAGAGAGAAATGTAAGAAGAAAAATTCTGAAAAAAGCCAAGAAGAACTTTGCAGAGAAAAAATTTAAACCAGAAGTTTTGAGCAAAGAGGAAAATAATAAACGAAGGTAAGAAAATGAATGATTTTACATATTTTTGTAGCCATATCAAGCTGATATGCAGGAAAACTCAGGATGAGCTATTTATACCTACAACTTCATTTGAACACCACATTGATGTCTTTATTTGTTTTGCATTGGCAGCATGTACCTTTGTGCTTTGTGACACCAGAAGCCCAAACGGACAGTTTAACACGTCATGTACAACTTGTACTCGTTTTGTCTAAAAATGCAGCCCTTGTGTTTGTGAGGGGGTGTTGGGAATTTGTGGTCAGTGTTTCAACAGTGGATGCGGAGATGTTTGAGTGTTCCCCTGAAAAATGGTGATGGCTAACACAGATGTGTAATCTGAGTGGGGGGATCTGTACGTCCAAGTTTTTTCACCCTAAAACCAAAATGAAAAAAAAGAAAGAAGCATGCACTTCTATTTTTTTATTAAGCTTTATGCTCATTGCCTACTTACTAATATTCACTGTTGTAATCTGTGTAATCATTCTGGTTACAATATTTGGGTCCTATCTTCCTGCCAGGTGTGTCTGCTGCTATAGAGCTTCTGTTTTGGAGTGGCTGGTGAGAAACATACATCAGAGATGAAGGTGAAAGGTCAGACGTGGCGACAAAGTGTGAGAATGTCACAAAGGTCTCTTCTTCTGCTTCTGGGAATCAGTGTTTTCACAGCTCAAGGTGGGAATCTCACAAACGTGTCCACACATTTTTGTTTATAGGCAAAAACGTGAAACAAAAAAGTTTCCTTGTTCAAGTTGCCCAAATTTTGCTTTTCAATGCCCCCTATTGGTCCTAGCGTTGTCCAATTGCTTGAGGATGCAGTTTTAAAGACAACCTTCAGTTTCCTCCCTATTACTAAGGGGTTCAAAATGGCTTGAAGCCAGACTACATATTTACATACACCGCCCAGCAAAAAAAGGTTGTTACCTTGATTTAACTAAGCAAATGGGTGCAAGGCTCCTATTGGATAATTACTGCATGGGCAACAATTTATTTAACCCCAACTGGTGCAATAGGTTGCTTCTCATTTATTAAACAAACATGTGGAAAGACACATCTGGTGGTCGTGGAAAAGATGTTGGTCTGTTTGAGAAGGGTCAGATCATCGGCATGCATCAAGCAGAGAAAATATGTAAGGGGATTACAGAAATGACCAAAACTGGGTTAAGAACGGTCCATCGCACTATTGAAAACTGGTCTGATGAGTCCAGATGGACCCTGTTCCAGGGTGATGGTGCATCAGGGTAAGAAGAGAGGCAGAGGAAGTGATGCACCCATCATGCCTAATGCCTACTGTACAAGCCTGTGGGGGCAGTGCTATGATCTGGGGTTGCTGCAGTTGGTCAGGTCTAGGTTCAGCAACAGGATGTGCTTCAAGAATGAGGTCAACTGACTACCTTTCTCAGTGGCCTAGTGGTAGAGTGTCCGCCCTGAGACTGGGAGATCAGGGGTTCGATTCCTGGTCGGGTCATACCAAAGACTTGGAAAAAATGGGACCCAATGCCTCCCTGCTTGACACTCAGCATTAAGGGGTTGGATTGTGGGGTTAAACCACCAAATAGTTCCTGAGCGCGGCTTGTCTGCAGCTCACCACTCCCCCAGGGGATGGGTCAAATGCGGAGAATAAATTTCGCACACACACCTGTGTGTGTGACAACTAATGGGACTTTAACTTTAACTTTACCTGAATATACTGAATGACCAGGTTATTCCATCTTCCCTGATGGCAAGGGCATATTCCAAGATGACAATGCCAGAATTCATCGAGCTCAAATAGTGAAAGAGTGGTTCAGGAAGCATGAGACATCCTTTTCACACGTGGATCGGCCACCACAGAGTGCAGACCTTAACCCCATTGAGAATCTTTGGGATGTGCTGGAGAAGGCTTTGTGCAGCGGTCAGACTCTACCATCATCTATGCAAGATCTTGGTGAAACATTAATGCAACACTGGATCAAAAAAATCTTGAGACACTGCAGAAGCTTATCGAAGCATTGTCGCAGCGAATGTGTGGTGTAATCAAAGCTAAAGGCGGTCGAACAGAACACTAGAGTGTGACCTTTTTGGGGGGGCGGGCGGGGTTTGGGCAGTGTATATAGGGTGGCTTGTCATGTTACGTGAACAGAATGACTGATTATAGTGTAAGACACTTTAAAGTCCTACAAAGGTGCTATACAAGTGCTGGTCATTTATCATTTAAGTAGACCCTACTCATAATACCAGACATGAGAACATGCATTAAGTGTGTTGTGAGTCCATGCATATATGTGTATGTTGCAGGATCATGGCAAAAATACAACACAGAGTCTGGTTCTCCTGTCCTTCACTCAGATGGTAAGTTTATTAAATCCTTAAGATCGGTTCTTCTGTATGTTCACGTTTGCTTCTGTAAATTTATCATTTCTAGACAACTATGAGTGGACCACTTGGTTCAATGTTGACCACCCTGGAGGCCGTGGAGACTACGAGCAGCTGGAGGCTATTCGTTTTTATTACCGTACCCGGGTGTGTGAGACCCCTAGAGCAATCGAAGCTAGAACCACAGATTGGATCTCAGCTCGAGATACTGGGGAAAAGATTCATGCAGATCCGACTGTGGGTTTCTGGTGTCTCAATGAGGAACAAGGTCCTGGGCGCAACTGCTCAAATTATGCAGTACGTTTCCTCTGCCTCAAAGGTTTGGATAAATATTTATTTGTTCTATTACTAAAAATCCTTTCATCTCGGTTTAGTTTAATTATGGGCTTTACTGTGTTACAAAGTGTTTCTTGAAAACATGCCTACAGAGAATAATAGATGTTTTTGTCCAATCGACTTTTTAAAAAATGTTTATTTGTCCAATCAGAAATAAGTATGGCCATTCAGGGAACCTGGGGTCCATGGTCAAACTGGGGCCCATGTCCTGCTCTATGTGATCAAGTGGGAATGCAGCTTCGCTATCGAAGCTGCACCTCTCAAATGCTGACTTGCAGTGGGCCTAAAATAGAAGAGAAACCATGCAATGGAGCAGAATGCACAAAGGCTGGTGAGCTAACCTTGGAATTGTTTGGCAGTAGTTACCAAATCACCACAGTTAGGAGCACAAGCTCATGGAATATATTAAACAAGTTAAAGAAAGAGCTTTCAAACCTACAAACCTCTGTTGTTTGTGTTTATTTCCCCAGACTGTTCCCTGCACTGTGTGATGGGGAGAGTAAATGCCGACTGTGATGCCTGCATGTGTGAAGAACACATTCTTCTGGGTTCTGTACGGAGTGCTGGAGGTCTGAATGCTGAAGGAGCCGCCATCCTTCGATCAGGAAAACTCCTTACTCTTACAGACCACAACGGTCACTTTCGCATCCCTGGAATCTGCCCCGACGGCAACACAACCATGACGGTCAGCCTGCAAGGCCATGCCTCTCTTGATGTTGTTGTGCCCTTCAGCTCTGGGCGAACTTCAGTTCTCAGTGTGCAGCTGAAAAGAGTTGGTACAGTAACTAACTAACTAATAAAACCCTGTAGAGTTACATTTTACTAAAAGAGAGTATGCAGGGGAAAATAAGTTACATGGCATTATTTTATAATGTTTCTAGAAAAGCTTCATATTTTGAGGAACCCTGAGAGCAAGACCAGAAGGGAAGGTCAAAGTGCTGCCTTCTGCTGCAAAGTGGCAGGAACGCCACAGGCAGACAAGTACCAATGGTAAGAATTTAGCTCATAGATCTAAAAACACCGTTTCTGTTTTAGACTACCAAGTACAGTTTTTTCAAATCGTGTTTTATCTTTTCTCTTTTATTTGTTTGAACTACCAGGTTTCATAACAACAATCTTTTGGAATTGCGATCTGAGAGCACTTTGGTCCTGAAAGATTTACGTCCTGAGCAGGCAGGGGAGTACTACTGCAGAGCAAGTGGGCCATCAGGAGCTGTCAAAACCAAACTGGCCACTCTTACAATCATAGGTGAGCCCTTCTTAAAGACAGTAGGCATCCATCAGCGGGATATGCTCTGTGATATCAACACTATTTTTATTCATTCATTTCAAACACAGGTAGAGATGTGCATTCATGCAACCCGAAGCCTGAATCTCACCTCATACGTCTTCCACACGACTGCTACCAAAACAGCACAAACTCTTTATACTATGACGTGGGCAAGTGCCCCTCAACTACCTGTCCTGGACAGTTGGACAATGGCATCAGGTGCAACGACAACGTGGCTTATTGCTGTGGTGTGGCAAAGATGGAGGAGAGGCAGCTACTGTGCCAGGGCTACCAACTGCCCACCATGGTAGTGACGAAGTGTGGCTGTCAGAAGTGTGTGGACACCAAGGCAATTGTGCACGGTAGGGCCACTGCTGCAGACAACGGGGAGCCAATGAGGTTTGGTCACATCTTCAGGAATGGAGTCAGAATCAGCCGCACTGGTTACAAAGGCACCTTCTCTATTCAGGTTCCTCCAGACACTGAAAGGCTGGTGCTGACTTTTGTTGACAACATGCAAAAATTTGTCAACACCACTAAGTTAATTTTATTTAACACAAAGGGCGGAGCTGTTTATCATGAAGTCAAACTTCTTCGAAAAAAGACTCCTGTGACAATCAACCCCTCTGAAACCAACACACTGGAGCTCGGGGATGCAGAAGGCCAGGAAAAAATGGTCCAGATCCAGATTCCTCCTAACTCCTTCTATAAGGAGAACGGAGAAGTCTTCACTGGTAACGTGAATGCAAGTGTAACATTCCTAGACCCCAGAGATGTCTCCACAGCTGCTGCTGCTCAAAGTGATCTGAATTTTGTAGGAGATGAAGGTGATCTCCTTCCATTGAGAACCTACGGTATGTTTTCAGTTGATTTTAGAGGTGAGGAATCCAATGAGCCCCTTAATGCTGGTGAGGTGAAAGTGTTCCTGGATTCTACTCAGGTGAAGATGTCAGAGCATCTCAACATCATGAAGTTGTGGTCGCTAAATCCTGAAACAGGTCTATGGGAGGAGGAGGGAAGTATGCATCTGGAAAAGAAAAGAAGAGGCAAAAGGGAAGAAAGAACATTCCTGATTGGAAACATGGAAATCCGAGAGAGACGTCTGTTTAATCTGGATGTGCCGGAGAACCGCAGGTGTTATGTGAAAGTGAGAGCCTTCAGAAGTGAACGCTTCATGCCCAGCGAGCAAGTAGAGGGTGTTGTGGTGAGTCTCATAAACATGGAACCAACAGCTGGTTACTCCACAAATCCACGTGCCTGGGGTCGATTTGATAGTGTTATCACTGGCCCAAATGGAGCCTGTCTTCCTGCCTTCTGTGATGAACAAAAACCTGATGCCTATTCTGCATATGTGATGGCCAATCTTGGAGGGGAGGAACTGGAAGCAGTTTCATCTTCTCCTAAACTCAACCCCGGCCTCACTGGAGTACCACAGCCATACCTGAGAAAACTCAACTACAGGCGGTCTGACCACGAAGACCCCAGAGTAAAAAAGACTGCATTCAGTATTAATATGGCGAAACCAAGTCCCAACGTAGCTGAGGAAGCCAATGGACCAGTGTATGCATTTGAGAACTTGAAGGAATGCGAGGAGGCTCCATTCAGTGCAGCACACTTCCGGTTTTCAAGAGTTGAAGGAGATCGTTATGATTACAACACAGTACCATTCAACGAAGATGACCCAATGAGCTGGACAGAGGACTATTTAAGTTGGTGGCCCAAACCCATGGAATACAGAGCCTGCTACGTCAAGGTCAAAGTTAACAGCCCACATGAGATCAATGTGCGGTCTCGCAACATGGGTGGCACCCACCCAAAGACCGTAGGCCAGCTTTATGGCCTTCGGGACACTCGCAGCATTCGTGACATGGACCATGGAAATGTCTCAGCTGTGTGCCTGGAGTTCAAGTGCAGTGGGATGCTGTATGATCAGGACCGTGTAGATCGTACTCTTGTGAAGGTGATCCCTCAAGGAAGTTGTAAGAGAGACCATGTAAACGCAATGCTTCAGGATTATCTGGTCAACCACCTGCCTCTAGCCGTCAACAATGACACCAATGAGTTCACCATGCTTGCACCTCTTGACCCTTTAGGTCACAACTATGGAATCTATACTGAGACGGAACAGGATCCCCGCACAGCAAAAGAAATTGCACTTGGGCGCTGCTTTGATGGCACGTCGGATGGCACATCTCGAGTCATGAAAACTAATGAGGGCGTGGCTCTAACGTTCACTTGCAGGGGCCGTGAGGTGACACGCCAAAGTGTATTTCAAGCTGTTCAAAGTTCTCAAGGTCAAGTGGTCACAAGTGTTGTAAGAGGAGAGAGCAAGAAAACCAGACGCCGGCAAAGGGCCAACGCATCCCGCAGCAGCCGTAAACGTAGCACCAGAAATCCTTCGGTAGAGCAGAATCAAGTGTGAAGCTAGATGGCCACAGTTCAGGGCTTTACAACTGAACTAATTACATTTATTATTTGGAAATAATGGGAGCTGGGTTTTTTATGCTTTATCAAAGCATTCAGTTATGCATTGATTAGAATGGTCCTAATCACATTAAAGGTTTGGATATGCAGGTTATTGGCTTAGAAAGAACTGGTGATTTAAAATTACAGCATTTGTTTATTAGAAATAAAAGTAGTTCTCATTTTCTGCAAGTTCAACAGGAAATGTACACTCATAGCAGAAGTTAATCAGATTTTAAACCTTTTGTAAAGAGCACTTTTAACATAGCCTAAATATTAAAGCTTTCAACAACAAATTTTATCCTTGTTTGCGTTTAAAATGGTGAAGGTACATTTGTGGCTCGTTATCGATAAGCACCCTGATGTTCAGACAGCTTTGCTGCATTTGACTGAGCTGAAAATACCTGTAGAAGCCTATGGTGTTTCTGTTTTCTGTCACTAAATAAACATCTGCAACCCAGTGGAACGTCAATCCAAGTATTTCTGAGTTTCTAAGCATGTCACCTTTTATAACTGATCAGTTTCCTCTGTAATCAAATACTAGGTTGTTTTACTCGGGGAGGCATCTGAGGTTTTTCCCATCATTTGAGGTTTTGATCTAGGGACGTGTATGTGCCGTTTTCTGTTTAAAGAGAACGTGTCATCGGAATGTTGACAATCATTGTGATCATTATTCATTTATCAGTAAAGCAAAGCGTAATCATTCCATAATGGTCGCGAGTGGGCGAAGCTCGTTATCACCAAATTAGATGTCTCTCTATACATACATTTACTTAAATCTTTTTAAAAGATTAAGATTAATGAAAACACAGAACCGTAATGAAAAATAAAGAAAACAAGTATTTTACCTTCCACATACCTTTTTCTTTTCAAAATTTGTCTCAAAAATATTAACCAGAATCTTGACAGTGGGGCTTTTTTTGGCACAGACATGATTTGAGCTTGTTTATATTGACAACGAAGACAACTTTTTCTTTTGACCAGTGATTTATTAAATTAGATGCTTAAAAAACAGATACGGTATCTTGGAAATTAAATGTATTCAACTGTTCATGTAACACCAAAACTGGTCAATAGCAAGAAAACAGGAGAAATATGCCCCCTTCAACTAACTGTAGCCCATATGAAGACATGGTGGGGTCTCCGCTCCTCATCACACTTGATACAAGCCTGCAGAAGCAACGATTAACAAGACCAGTTGCAGCAAGTGACTCTGCTTGCCTGATCGACTCTTTCTGCATTAGTTGAACTTAATTAGTAAGCCAAATTTCTCTCATGCAAAAAAAAAACAAAAAAAAAAAAAAAACTTTTTGCTTTGAGGATATTTCAGAAAAGTATTAAGATCAACGATGGCTGTTTAACATCATTCATTATTCTCTATCCCTTTTCTTTCATATTTATCTCTGTAAAATGTATACTATATGCCTTTCCAATGATCCACATTACAACTGTTCCAGAGATTTAGATGAATAATGTACTGAACAATTGCTCTGCATTTGGCAACCAAAAGATACTATATACATTTTTCCTGTAAAAGACCAAACCACAACTAAGTGCGACCTATAGAACATGACATTCTGGTTAGAGAATTTGCATAGAACCTTGTTTCTATGTCCCTCAAAACTGCCATACTGTATATCTGGTATTTTGACAGGAGCATCATTTAATACAAAAGGAGCCCCATAAAACTTACAGCAGCAATTACAAAGTATTCTCCTTTGAAGCGACAGATTCCACGGTTGTGTGTGTGTGTGTGTGTGTGAGAGAGAGAGAGAGCGCAGAGGCTGAATGGGACAGAAGGCAATTCCTTATGTTAGAACAATTAAAAGTGTTGAGACTTGGTGCTTCCCGGGTTAGTCCCTCTGGTCACTGAAGCAGAATGAAAGGGGCAACACATAGTTCAGATTTTCCAGGATGGCACTGGACAGCATGAGCAGCAGCCGCGCTGCTGACGGTAGGGAAGGGTCAAAAGGGCCGTAGTGATGGAGCCAGTGTCACATGAAGTCCTCATAGTCTTGGGCGTAACCACCATCAAATTCTGCATAGTCAAGGTCATCTCTCATCTGCGCCTTCAAACCACCGCCAGCTACGACCCCTTTCTTCTTCTTTTTCCCTTTGTTTTGCTGAAAAGAGAAGAAGCAAATGAAGTGAAACCTTTAGATGAGCTCATTCTAATGATCTAAATCATTCATGCCTTCATCAACAGGATTTAAATTAGTCAACATGCAACTGGAGCAGATCAAGAGCGCCCCCTACTGTATGATGAAACTAAAGACGAGCAAACAGCAACTTACTTTTTCTTGTTTCTGTTTTTCACTAAGTAGAACTGAAAGGGAACTACTGATTTTCTTCAAGTCATCTACTTCCACTGTGAGAAATAAATAAAAATTGTTAGTCTGGTCTGTTCTGAGTAGACTTTAACGTTTAATACAACAAAAATGTAGAAATACCACAACAATGCTTACATGAAATACAAAGTTCCCGAAACAAAGAATCCAAGAAACTTGAATAATGGACAGATTTTTCAAACTGAGTTATCTTTTCTTTCAGCAATTTTTCAAACTCTGTGAAGTCTTCTTTGGAAGATGGACACATGGCGTCAATACCTGTGACAGAGCTGACACCTAAAAAACAGACAAGCATGAAAAGTAAGGATTTTAGAAACAGGAAGTCAGATTTAAACATTAACGCCTGGGGCAGACGCGCCACCATTTTAAACAGACGCCATTATAGTTGCTGAGTGGGCACACGGGGGAGCGCGGCGCCGCGTCCCAGAAGAACCAAAGATGGGCGCCAGTTCTATTTCAAGCTGTTTACAACAGACATTACGACATGGAACGGCTTTATGGCACAACCCCAGCGCAGTACTTATAAATTTAAAGTACTATTGATTTTAAAATTTTCTAATAAATAACGTACTTCCCCATTTTCAATTAGTCTCTCAAAACACGATGGCAAGTCTGATCACGTATAATCAAAAGCGTCACTTTCTACTTCCTGTTCTCGAGTCCCACGTGATGTTGCGACTATCGCGCCACTTTCCAAGAAGCGCTCAGGGGCGCGGTGCGTCCTGTGTGACCATCTGACTTCACTAAACCGTGGCACAGCGCACCCGGCTCCGGTGTGCCCCAGGCACACTGCATCACTGAGTCCCATGCTGTCGTTCTTTTTAAACACAAACAGTTTTGTTTACCTGTTATTGACGCTACAGTTTCGCCGACGGCTGCCGGCTTCTTCAGGCTGACGCTGATGGTGGCGCGTCACTTCCTTCTCCGTTTATCTGCGGGCAGCAGAGGACGTTGTCGCCCTCTACTGCCCGCTCACCGACGATGCAGTCCCATGCGTGGTCCAGCGTGTAAACTCCGTCGTCATCTTTTGTATTTTTGTTGTTCGGTGGTTATGATCCTTGTGCCGTCCCAGTCCATTATATGGTTTTCTCTTAAGCAATGATCTGTTACGGCTGACTTTTTTATTGTACTTTCTGCTTCTTCTTTTGCTGCTCTTGTGTGTTTACGATTTGCCTCTTTCTCGCACTCCTTTCTGTGTTCTATTGTTCGTGTGTTGAGTTGGCGTCCGGTTTCTCCTATGTATGTTTTATTGCATATTTTGCATGGGATTTCGTAAATGACTCCACATTTTTGTCCAGCTGATATTTTGTCTTTTGGGTGTACTAGTCTGTTTCTAACTGTTGTGTATGGCTTTGTTGGTGTGTTTATGTTGTGTTTTTTCATTGTTGCTCTTATTTTTTCCGTTATGCCTCTGATGTATGGTAGGGTTATCACTGGTTTTAGTTCTTGTCTTTCTGGGTTTCTGGTTCTTTTTTTGGGTTGTTCTTTGCTTTCTGTTTTTGCTTGTTGTTTTCCTTTGTTTATTGCCCATGTCGGGTATCTGCAGGTCTTTAAAGCATGTTGTATGTGTTTGTCTTCTTGTTTACGGTCTCTCTCTCTAGTACTTTACAGGAGGAAAAATATTGAGATATATATATATATATATATATTGTAGTAGAGGGCGACAACGTCCTCTGCTGCCCGCAGATAAACGGAGAAGGAAGTGACGCGCCACCATCAGCGTCAGCCTGAAGAAGCCGGCAGCCGTCGGCGAAACTGTAGCTACAAAACAGGTAAACAAAACTGTTTCTGTGTTTAAAAAGAACGAAAGCATGGAATTAGAACCACGACACAGCAAGAACACACCTAAGATGCATAACTGAGTGTTTGAGCTCGTCTTACCAAAAGCATCTTTTGCAAGCTCCAAATCGGCATCTTCCTGCAATTTCTTGACTCTCAACTTCTCTGCAAGTTGTTCCTCGGGAGTCAGTTCTTCTTTCTGAAATAACAAATAATAGAATAAGAGTGAGGAAAAGGTCAACCGCAGCACTGTGAGCCAACAATCTGAGCCATTTAAACACTCACGTTTTCTTCCAGTTCCTTCCTCTGGTCCTGTTTCTTTTTTAACTGGTTTTCCTTCTCTTTGATCTTTTCAATTAACTTTTTTTTGTCTGAAACCTTTGTTGGCTCTAGAAGTTAAATCATGCATCAGTAACAGAAATCCCACAAAAGAAATGTTCTTTCATCTGAAGGGGGTTTCAAACCACACCTAAGCTCTTCACTTTCTTCTCCTCCTCTTCATCTTCATCATCCCAGTTATCCTGTGAATAAAATGTGACGTTACACAAGACACAAAATAAAGCCGTTCCCTAAATAACTAATCATTTCATCTTTTTGAATATCTTGCCTCAACAAAATCTAAAATTCATTCCACTTTTCCAAAAGGTTCTAAACTAAAGGTGGTCTTTAAAAATCTGACACAGAACGAGCAGAAACAGAAATATTATTAGGGTTGACTTAGTTTTGGGCGGTATACCGGTTCATACTACAAACCGGTGTTTATTTTGGTTATGATATGAATTTTTCACATACCGCTTTACCGGTGAATGGCCTAAACAACGTACAGAACGTTCGTAGTGGGAAAGTGTTTCAGCGGGGACTCATTCCGCGGCTGGCGGGAGCGGTCACGGCGACATCAAAACTTCAAACGCAGAAGAACTTATTCCAAAAAGAGGAGCCACGTCTGTTGTTTGGAGGTATTTCGGGTTTAAAAGTTCAGACGTGGAGCAAACAACTATTATATGCAAATGCTGTCGAGCAACGGTGGTCGCCGGCGGGGGTAACACCAGCAACTTGCTTCATCACCTCAGCCGAAAACACGTCTTGGATTTCCAAGAATGTCTCAAGCTTCGATCTGCACCCTCCACCTCCGAGGCTAAAACGGCCAGTAGCAGTCAGAGTCAGACGTCCATTAAAGACGCGTCCGCTAAAGGGACTGTACATTAAAAAAAAAGGAAGCGGTGGGTCGAGATAACCAACGCAATAACGTTGGATGTTAAATCATAAAGATGGTTAACTGCACAGATTATATGCAAAATGTGTTCAATAAAAATAGTTTATTTTGACTGCAATATTTCATCTTCCTAGTGGTTTTTTCTTAACTGCTTTCTTTTGACAAGGGTACTTTGAGGGGATTTCTGCATTTACCTACCTGTGACTGGACATGGAAAGACTGGTATTCTGCACATGAAGGTAAAACGGGCTATTTAAGGCCAATCTAGTGCAGTAATTATTTTCTTATAAAAATAATCTGGGTAATCACGGCCTTGTGAAAAATACCGTCAAATACCGTAAAACGACATTTTTGCCATACCGCCCAGACTTAGGTTGAATTGATATTCTTAAGCACAGCCATACGAGTGTGGAAACAACAGTTGGGCATCGAGCATCGATTGGAACCGGGAATAATTGTAAGTTTTTTTTTTTTTTTTGAAATCGTTCAAATTTTTTAAATTACGATTCCTAGTTTTGACGCCTAGTCTGCCGACCGGAGGTGGACACCACCGAATACCAACAAAGAAGAATTTGCCGTCTGTGTTCTAAAGCGTGGCTTTGGCCGATAATCTCCACAGAAATAACGTAATCTGCAAATTCCTATCAACCCCTTTCAAAGCTGATCACCTGTCTCTCATACTTTGCAGCCTGCAGAAACCCGGTGCTGCAGCGTCACATCTCCCCCCAATATTCCTTGCACCACACAAGCACACAGCAGTAAAAATGTAAACACTTATCTCCAGAACTTTTTATCAGAGTGATGTAAACTTAGCATCCTGCAACAAAAAAATAATAATAATACAGCGTGGAGGAAGCACGCTGAAATGCATCAGTGGATTAAATACGAGTTCAAGAACATCTGGGCAGTGACTCTCGTTTTCAAGGCTCACTGCAAAAATAAAAACCCTTGGAGCAGCAAGTCAGACACACCGCTAATGCAGCTACACTCACCAAGACTCGTCAGTATGATACTTTTGCCCATTTGGTCGTGTGGAATGTACGAAAGGCTTGTCGAAGTGACATTACTCAATAGGGGAACGAGCCAGCAACAGTAAGTATGAAAAAAATGATCATTTTTTTAAACCATCGGTTGCAAAAATGTGAAACTTAAACATATATAACAAATGAATAAATAATAATAAATTAAGACTGAAAAATATTTTAAGTTAACAAACAAAAGATATATTTTTAAAGAACAAAATACTAATTCAACATCACTTCGGTTATGTTTTATTGTAAGCAAATGGTAGGAACTGCTGAGGGCGGAGACAAACTTGTGCACGACAAATGTCACACTGTCCTTTTATGGACTTTAAAATACTGCCACACGGCAGACGTCGCTCTTGTTCCTTGCTACTTTGCTAGCAGCACTGTTCTGATCATGTGGGCTCTGCATGCTGGATAGAATTGCTGGAATGAAATTTAAAATAGAACGAACTTTTTATATCAGAGATTTCGGATGCAGTCCGGTTTAGTATGATAGTATTTTTGGGCCAATTTCGAATTACTTCCGATATCAATGTCAGAACGGGACATACCTAGTTACCAGCAGCTAGGGCTGGACGATATGGACCAAAACTTATACCTCGATTTCTTTTAGCTGAATTCCGATATACAATATATATATATATATATATATATATATATATATATATATATATATATATATATATATATATATATAAATATTTTTCCTCCTGTAAAATATTTACAAGTTACACTACAAGCAGTCTTGAGAAATTATATACATAAATCAGTAGATTTAATGCATAAAATGTATTGATTCTTGTCAAACTTTAACCTTAGTGACTATTCTCTACCAGTCTGAGCTTTAGAAACACCGATACAGCTGTCTGCTAACACACACACACACACACACACACACACACACACACACACACACACACACACACACACACACACACACACACACACACACACACACACACACACACACACACACACACACACACACACACACACACACACACACAGTTGAGAGCCAGAGGTGTATCAAATGTCCCACAGGCACTTAATTATTATATATTTATAATTAATGTGAAATTATTTAAATTTCATCTAGAGGTGGCCCATATTGTAGGTCTTGTCCAGAGAAAAAAATTCCATCATGTTAAGCTAAATGTACGATGATGTAATTGCATCTACTGAAGATCACATGGGTCATGCACCATGGAGTTATTAGTTATTAGAAAAACTAGTTATTAATTATTAGTTAGCAGTGTTGGCTCATATCAGCGATTATACTGTAATGATTCAGAGTCTCTGGTTGCTCTTTTATGAGTGTTATTTTCGGGCTACTGTCACCGTAACCCACACCTTACAAACTGAACTTTTTCAACAGAATCACTCGTAACGGAGTATTTACTAGCATAGCAAACCAGAGCGGAAAAAAACGAAACAGGAACAACATTTCTCACCCGTTGAGCTCGCCTTCAAAATAAAACGGTAACCCTATAGTTTACTATTCAAACCCTTACAATATGGTTGTGGTAATTTGGCCACTATGGCTTTCCACAGATGTTTCCTCATTACACAGGGGAGGGAGGGGCTTGGCTCGTCTCTCAGCACAAGCAGGATGGAAAACAGAACTCCGGTGGCGTTGAACGTCCCCAAATAATTAAAAACCAGGACGACGCCAAATGCAAAGTTTAGAGCAGCACATTTACCCAGAGGCTCTCAGACTGAGGCTCACTGATGTGAGGAGAGTCCCCAACCCTACCTCCCCACCTAGTGGACACTTATGTTGTGTAATGTCTGAAGTCTGTTGCATTTCTGTCTGAGGTGTTTTTTGCATAGCAAAGCTGCCCTCCCTGTGGAGAGTAACTCTGAAGTGCCTTTGTTTTCCTCCACCTGACTCAATCCTCATATAAACCCTCTGATCTCTATTAAGGTAGCGTGACTCGGGTTGCGAATGACCACAGTCACCAATTCTTGTCATGTGTCTATGTCTATGTATGTCTGATCTCAGAATTGTGTGTACTGAAACTCTAGTTTCCCTCTGGGATTAATAAAGTATCTTTGAATTGAATTGAATTGAATTGAATTGAATTAGCTGGTAAATATGATGTCACAATGCTGTTGTGAGCCTGCGTGTTTATTTGTTAGCAGCTCTGCCGTTTTGGTCTGCTAGGCAACAGCATTTGTTGCATTTTTCAAACAGGAAGTGGGAGTGGAGTAAGATTCTGGTAGGGGGTGGTGACTTGCTCTTTTAAATAACAAAATAATGATAATGAATAAATAAAATAAAATAATGATAATGAATAAATATTTTTGTATAATATTTGGTCAACTTTTGATCAAGGATACGTACTTGGGATTGGAACAGAACTTGGGCCATAGTTGACGTTTCACAAGGACGCAAGTTCACAAGTTCAGACAAGTACGCATTGAGAAACGGTCAAAGTGTCTAAGACACAAATCTACACTATTCTTGAAATGTTTGTTGGACCATTTATTTTATTTATTTTTTCCCAGAACTGCGCTGCTCTGGGCGGCTGCATGTTGGAGTAGCTCTGTTGACTATATGCAAGTTTTGCCTTTTCTTGGGCATTTTTTCTTCTAGTTTCTCAAGAAAAACTATTTGTTTGGACATTTTACTTTTCCGTTTCTGGTGCTGTGAAGCTTGGAGGATTTTTACTGCTATTTTTTGTGGTTTTTTTCACTTTTTGAGCATTTGTTATGATGCGTAACCATGGCAACAAAATGGTCTACAATCAGGAGCAGCTGATTAACATTGGAAAGGCTGAAATAATACCTCAACTGAAGCCACAAATCCCAAATGAGCTAAAACGCAAGAAGCGTGGGAGCAAAACGGAGACAGAGAAAGAGGAAATTCAAACCATCTCTTCCATCGATCATAATGGGCAATGTGAGATCATTGGCCAACAAGATGGAGGAACTCCAAGCCCTTTCAAGGACTCAGCCAGAGTTTCGGCAGTTGGAGGAGATAATGCAAAGAAGGATTCTCCAGAGAATCAAGAAAATGATGGACAACCCTGAGCACTCTCTTCACAAGACTGTCCGACAACTGAAGAGTGTCTTCAGTCAGAGGCTTCTTCAGTTTCGCTGCAACACTGATCGCTACTGGAGATCCTTCCTGCCAACAGCCATTGTAATATACAATAACTCTTTGATGACTTGATTATTATTATTATTCTGAACTACTACAGCAATCAATTTCCCTCTGGGATTAATAAAGTATTTTTGAATTGAATTTTATATTAGCAACCAAAAATTCACCTAAAGCTCTCAACCGAACCCAAAATAATACATTGTGAAACCTAAAATGACAACCCTACTAGAAAACTATACTTAATGATATTTACTGATATAATTATAAAATATTAAGTTTTTAAACTGAGCTTTTGTTAATTTCCACTCATGTTCGCTTTACAGTCTGCAAAATTACACATTTAAATGACAAAGTAATATTTACAGGTTTATCAATAATGTCATCCATCCTAATCACAATTAGTGATTCAAATACTTCAATACATCATTCTTTCAGGAACAAGACATGAACCAAAAGCCCCCATTAGTCTGAACTGGTTCCCAAAAAGTCACAAGTGCATTATTCTAATCCAGAATGAACTAGAACTACTGGAATCTGATTACTAGGAATGGTACTTCATGCTGTTGTAATCTCTAAATTATTTAACAACTCCAGACGGTTCTTCCTACTCTCAACAGGAGCTGTTTGAATGGTGAAACCACTAGTTTCTAGTTTGGGCACCATATGTGACAGATAACAGCTGAGATCTCTACTAGCACTTTCCATAGGTATTGTCCATGTCAACGTCCCTGGTGGGGCCTCCTGTAAGCTGTGGGGAAGTTAACAGCTGGTCCTGAACCTGCCAAACGACCGACGCAACAATGCAAGGTTCTAGGCCTAGTTCTTGTCCGAGTTGAGTCATCAACCCAGATGATTTCATATGAGGCTAAAGTTGCAAAGCATGCTAACGCAGCCGCATGAATATGACTCAAGATGTTCCACAACCTTTAAACGTCTGTAAACGTTAAACTTTGTCAAAAGACGATAAAACGCCATTAACTCTTACAACAGAATTACAAACCAGACTGTCAGAAATTAAAGCTCACTTTCAAAAAGCCTACGTGAAAGTTAGCGAGCTCTGTAGCTAATTAGCCCGTTAAAATGTTAGCTTACAGCTACAGTGTCAAAATTTTACATCGGTAAACCGTTAAATGTGAACTCAAACACAAAACGGCAACGTTTGGGCTTAATTTGTTCCAGTTGAGCGGAATGCCATCATTCGGCGTGTTACAGGTTTGTGGAAACACGAACAGCGGCCTGTTATTGGCCGAGTAATAGGCTGTCTGGTGGAGCCACATGTTAGCCGTTACCTAGCAGAAAGCTAGCCCGAGGTTCGGCATGACAGCAGAGGGCTGCGGTGGAGAAATGTAACCGAGCAGATTATTTTTAGTCCGGCACACAATACATGAACTAGCGGCGTTTAAACTACCTGGCAGACGAAACAGGCTTCGACATCACCAAGTCCTGATGGATTACCTTAACATCTTCATCTTCGTCCTCGCCTTCCCATTTATCCATCGCTGCCGCCTTTTTAATCGGCTCCTCCGGCTCGAAGTTGTCAGCGTCTGTAAAACCAACAGCATAATATTCGTAAAGCCAATCCACATCTAAAGACAGAGTTTAACAATAATCGAGCGAAAAGCTCTTTAAACCAAGTCTGTGACAAGCGGATGATGTATGGGGGCAGCTTTCCTGCCCAACTTAGTTTCTCACCCCAGTCCGCCATGTCGGCTGTGTTGGTTGTGTTTGACAGGCTCACAGTCAAGTCGGTGCTGCAGCCCGTCGGCCACTCTCAGAAACTGCTACCACCTTCTGGACGTGACACTGGTGTTGTGCCAAAAAGAGTTGCTGGAAAGATAATCCTCCTCCGCGGGAGCGCGCGTAGCCTCAATTAAAGGCAGACATACCAATGGTTCAAACTAGGACTGGAATATTTTTTTTATACAATTAAAAACTGAATAAAATAACTTCAAATAAAAAATGAATGTGGCTATTTTTTTACATTTCAAATGTATGCACCTTTTAAAATATACACTAATGTAAATAGCTGATCAATATGGAAGCCTATTCCTGCCACTCTGATAAAAAATATCTTTAATCTCATAATTATGAGATAGCTAATTCATAATTAGTAAAAAATATTAATCAGAGTGGCGGGAATGGGCTTACATAGATGTATAATTGCACACGTTGGCAAAACAAAAAATTTAAATGTATATAAATAATTTTGTGACATAATTATTCCAGATTCAAACTCTGCACACGTTTGCAGTGAAAAGGTTGCAGGTTCAAACCCTGGCTGTGTGGGTTTAGTCCAGGTGCTCTCCTTCCCCTCACACACCAAAAACCCACAGGCTAGGTTTACTGGTGACTATAAATTGTACTTAGTATGAGTGTGTGGTTGTTTTTTTTATCTCTGCATCTCAGTGATGGAGACCTACCCACGGCCTTTTGTCCGTTCACTGCTAGTGCTGAGCACCAGCTCCTTGTGACAAGTCAACGACTAGCACAGGCATGGCTAAGACCAAAGTGGATTTCTGCTGTTCTCAAATGTCTAATATTCATAGCGGTTTTTGTAAACAGTTTCATAAGGTTTGTTCATTATTTTTGTGTCATACCGTTATTTACAAAGAAGTATGTGTTTATTGATGAGCAGCTAGCTGTAGCATGACAGCCTAGGAAACTTCAGCCTCTTTCCTCCAACATAATGAAATAGTTTCTTGCGTGACCCAATATAAAAACCTAGCTCAGACATCCAGGAGGGACTTGTGGCAGAGCCTTTGCTCCTCCACATCAAGTGAAGCCAGGTGAGGTGAGCTGTACATGTGGTCAGGAAAAAGACCAAAAAATAAATAAACAAAGAAGCATAAATGGTTGAGCAGTTGATTGCTAAAGGAAAAAAATAATACACCCAAAAACAAATGAGGTGACTCTTCCTCTGTGGTTACATTCTGTCAGCATTTGTGTTGAACTTATTTTTTATTTTTATTTTTTTCTTTCCCGGAACTGCACTGCTCTGGGCGGCTGCATGTTGGAGTAGCTCTGTTGACTATATGTAAGTTTGGTCTTTTCTTGGGCATTTTTCTTCTAGTTTCTCAACAAAAACTGTATTTTTTGGACACTTTACTTTTCTGTTTCTGGTGCTGTGAAGCTTGGAGGATTTTTACTGCTATTTTTTAAGCTTTTTTCAATGTTTGAGCATTTGTTATGATGCGTAACCATGGCAACAAGCTGGTTTACAATCGGAAGCAGCTGATTAACATTGGAAAGGCTGAAATAATACCTCAACTGAAGCCACAAATCCCAAATGAGCTAAAACGCAAGAAGCGTGGGTGCAGAGCGGGAGCAAAATGGAGACAGAGAAAGAGGAAATTCAAACCATCTCTTCCATCGATCATAATGGGCAATGTGAGATCACTGGCCAACAAGATGGAGGAACTCCAAGCCCTTTCAAGGACTCAGCCAGAGTTTCGGCAGTTTCAGAACCGCTGGAGGAGATAATGTAAAGAAGGATTCTCCAGAGAATCAAGAAAATGATGGACAACGCTGAGCATTCTCTTCACAAGACTGTCCGACAACGGAAGAGTGTCTTCAGTCAGAGGCTTCTTCAGTTTCGCTGCAACACTGACCGCTACTGGAGATCCTTCCTGCCAACAGTCATTGTAACATACAATAACTCTTTGATGACTTGACTATTATTATTATTCTGAGCTACTACAGCAATCAATTTCCCTCTGGGATTAATAAAGTATTTTTGAATTGAACTGACAGCACTATCATGCTAGTATGTCTAGGTATGTAGTCTGGCCACGACCCAGAGCTCAGTCATGGGTCGGGATGGTTGTCTCCACATGGTCTCCACATGCTATTGGACAGTAAACAACATTACATACTCACCATTATGAATGTTAGTTAACAGGGCAGTCCACCACGCACTGTTGAAAAAAACACAAATACACCCTTTTTCTAAATAAAAGACTTAAGTACCGTACCGCTATTTTCTCTTAAGTCACAGAAAAGTCCAAATCTATATAGTCCAAAGTTCACGCCAAAACTTTGTTTTTTCGCTCTGTCACTTCCAGCACTGGTCGTGGTGGATGGCTGCTTCTACTGAGCCAGGATCCTCTGCAGGTTTCTTCCTGTTAAAAGGGAGTTTTCCTCTCAACTATCACTACACACTTGCTTAGTATGAGGATTGCTGTAAAGACTCTGACTCTAGTCAGTGACTTGATGCAATCTGCTGGGAAACTTTTTACTGATTGGCCTAATGAACTGAACTGTATTTGAATGTTTACTGTGTGAGGTGCCTTGAGACGACTCTTGTTGGGATTTAGCACTATATAAATAAACTTGAATTGAATTGGTGCTAATCCCATCCACCAATACGACAGAGCACTGTGATTGGTAAGACACAGAACCATTGTGTTGTGTCTACCACTAGGGAGAAGTACACGATAGGAGACGAAAAGGTAGGTAGGAGTAGGAAATGGTGTGAATGCCTGATTCTACTACACGTGACGCAGGTTTGGATAAAACTTGGAAAAGGAATTCTTGCCTACTAGCAAGAACTGCGCTGCTCTGGGCGGCTGCATGTTGGAGTAGCTCTGTTGACTATACGTAAGTTTTGCCTTTTCTTGGGCATTTTTTCTTCTAGTTTCTCAAGAAAAACTATTTTTTTTGGACACTTTACTTTTCTGTTTCTGGTGCTGTGAAACTTGGAGGATTTTACTGCTATTTTTTAAGCTTTTTTCAATGTTTGAGCATTTGTTATGATGCGTAACCATGGCAACAAGCTGGTTTACAATCGGGAGCAGCTGATTAACATTGGAAAGGCTGAAATAATACCTCAACTGAAGCCAAAAATCCCAAATGAGCTAAAGCGCAAGAAGCGTGGGTGCAGAGCAGGAGCAAAACGGAGACAGAGAAAGAGGAAATTCAAACCATCTCTTCCATCGATCATAATGGGCAATGTGAGATCACTGGCCAACAAGATGGAGGAACTCCAAGCCCTTTCAAGGACTCAGCCAGAGTTTCGGCAGTTTTGGAACCGCTGGAGGAGATAATGCAAAGAAGGATTCTCCAGAGAATCAAGAAAATGATGGACAACCCTGAGCATTCTCTTCACAAGACTGTCCGACAACGGAAGAGTGTCTTCAGAGGCTTCTTCAGTTTGGCTGCAACACTGACCGCTACTGGAGATCCTTCCTGCCAACAGCCATTGTAATATACAACAACTCTTTGATGACTTGATTATTATTATTATTCTGAACTACTACAGCAATCAATTTCCCTCTGGGATTAATAAAGTATTTTTGAATTGAATTGAATGGTGCCACTTTCTGATATAAGGGACAACTGTAACATATTGTGGATAACACTGTTACATAAATAAGGTTTTAATTAGGTTTTAATTGTGTTTTTAGCCAAATAAAAAGAGAAAAAGACTGTTAGACTGACTTTCCCAGTTGCTAACGCCAAAAAGCCATCAAGTTTTATTATGAAATAATTTAGGCTACTGGAAAAGTGTCTACTAAAACTTTATTAGCAAAGTTCCTCCTTTTCCTTCTCCTTAATATTCCCAAGAGAACCAAAACAAAGATTAGGCTTTTCCAGCTTTATTGAGATAAGAGGCTAAAATGTTATTTTCTAAATGCAGAGTATAGTTGCAACTTGTTGCCACTGGAGGGCATCAATACGTTTTAGTGCTGTAGCTAGATTTAGTAACACTTTGACTTCATACACTCATCATGTTTTACACTTCAATAAATACAAATTTAATTGTTTTCAGCTAAATAATAAGAGCAAAAATCTGTTAGAGCGAGTTCCCTTGTTGCTAATGCCCAAAAGGCATTAATTCCCCTCCTCGTTCATGTACATATTCAGGCAAAAATACTGCATTTAGTGTAGCCACATAATGTGTAGCTCAGACAGCTAAACATTTTTGTGTGTGTGAGAAATTGGAGGTGTGGCATGAAAGTGTGTGAAAACAGCCAAATATGCTAAATGCATGAGTTAGCAGGCCTGCTTCCATTGATATAAACCAATGTTGCATTGAATAAAATACAAAAAAAATTTCAATAAATAAATAAATAAAAACCAGAAAGTAAAGCTCTGTTCACGTTTTTATTGTGCAGGGTTAATGTTTCACTGAGTCAATTAAAGCAGATAGATGAATTGATTTTAGTAAAGTTTGCACAACAATACAAAACTCACAGCAAAAACAGAATAACGTGACTCAGTGTCAATATAATCTGTCTTTTTATAGAACATGGTCTATTTAGATGGTAATTAATATCCCGAAACACAGTTTTGACAAATACTTCACAATAAGCTTTGCAACAGAAGCTGTTTTAAAAAACGTTATAATATCAGTATATACATTAGTACTTAAACACAGAATCATTATGTATAATACACAAGACCCGAAGGGTTTTGAATTTCAGAGAGTCCTGCATTGAATTGCACAGAGAAATCAAAAGTGTGTGAATGAGGAGACCTCCTGATACAGCTGGATGGATGGGTTCATCTGTCAGGGCAGAACTGGAGAGTCAGCAGGATCAGCAGCCCCAGCATGAGACCCAGAGGACTGTGGCTCAGCGATGACCCCAGTGACCTCACTGTAGGAAGAGTGACACAAATTCACATGCAGAGCCATGCAAACTGGGATATCAGTTGGTATGGAAATCGTCATTAAAGAGGACGTCTACTATAGAAAATAAGGTAACACTTTACAAAAGGGTCCCTTTATTAACGTACTTAGTGCATTGTTAAGCATTAAGAAACAAAGGGTCCCTTATTAACGTTGCCTTTATTTTTAACTAGCAAGTGTCCTTAAGGTTAGGATGAATGGCTGAGGGGGTCTGTTTTGTAACACGTTACAAAATATGGTTAATCAGCTGTTAATACTTTATTTAATAGTTTATTAATGCTTAATAATGCACTAAGTAATGCTAGTAAAGAGACCCTTATTATAGTGTTACTGAAAATAATAATAAACCTATTGCAATCATGCCTGCGTCATATAGTTCGTAGATAAATACCATATAAATTCCACACACACACACACACACACACACACACACACACACACACACACACACACACACACACACACACACACACACACACACACACACACACACACACACACACACACACACACACACACACACACACACACACACACACACACACACACACACACACACACACACACACACACACACACACACGATGTACTAAAACTCATGTTCCTATTGAATAGAAGAGATGTTCTCATCAGTATGGTTTCTTTTAGACATTGAATTTATCACATTGAATTTTTATTCTGTGAAATCATGTATTTGGCTTTTTTACACTTAAAATAGTCGAACAAACATTTCATCTGTAAAAATTCAACAACAGAATTTCAACGTAAAAATTTGATCAGCAAATTTTCAACAGGAATAAAAATCAATTTCAGAAATTCAGTATCAAAAATTCTACAAAAAATGAGGTGGCCCCCTAGTGGACCAAGCTAAAGTAATCTTCAACTGGTCACGTTGACGCCTCACTGTTGTGTCGCGACCAGAGAAGCATAATTTTACTGGCGTAATTGACTAAATCAAGTGGAAATTACTTTGGCTTGGCCCAAGCCAACAATGTGGTGACCTCCTGGTGACCCAAGCCGCATGGGTCACCAGGAGGTCACCACGGTTGTAGTTGCATTTTGCAGTTGAATTTCTGTGGTTGGATTTTAGCTGAATAATTTTTCACGTCAAGATGTTTATTTTTAAATTCTTACGTAAAATTTTTGAAGATGAAATTCTGCATTTGAGTTTTTATGGACGACATTTTTGCAGGTGTATTTTTTATTTTAATTATTTCAACACATAATTTCACAGAATCAAAATTTCATGTCATTCTTGTGAGACTGTTTATCTTCCATACAAGTGGAAACAACAGTTTGACTACTTGCAGGTTTTAACCTGAAAAAATAAACATAAATGAAAATACAGAACAGAAAAGCTCTAGTTGAAAGAAACCATGGATACATTTTAATAGTGAGCATGAATAGTGATTACTGAATCAACAGCTATTAAACATGCGTAGCTGCTGATGGGATTTATATAAATAAATTACTTAAAATTAAATAAAATAGGCCCTTTTGGGAGGCAGTGGGACACGCACTAGATCAATGTCAATGTCAATGTTATTTATAAAGCACATTTCCAACAATCAGAGACTGCACAAAGTGCTGTACATAGACAAGCAGTAAATAAAATGATGAAACGCTGAGAGCCTTCCAGTAGACCCTAAAATTACTTAACTATAAAATCAATTAAAAGCAAGGGTAAAACAGAAGGGTTTTTAAAAGAGACTTAAAAGCAGAAAGACTGTTAGCAGATCTAATCTGTAGGGGAAGGCTGTTCCAGAGCTTGGGAGCGGCCACAGAAAAGGCTCTGTCGCCTCTGGACTTCAGCCTAGACTTGGGAACAGATAAAAGATGTAGAGAGGATGATCGGAGGTTTCGTTTGGGGACATGAGTGTTTAAAAGTTCCGACAGATGAGGAGGGGCTAAATTGTGTTGTGCCTTGAAACAGATCAGTAGCATTTTAAATTGAATCCTGTAAGTGATCGGGAGCCAGTGAAGAGCTTGTAAGACTGGTGTTATGTGATCCCTGCCTGCACCTCCTACCTATCAGCAAGCGGGCTGCCGCATTCTGAGCCACCTGCAAGCGGTGAATTGACGACTGCTCCAGTCCATGATAAAGAGAGTTGCAGTAAGTGGCCTGTATTTGATATAGCGCCTTCTAGAGTCCTGGAACCCCCAAGGCGCTTCACAACACAGTCATTCACCCATTCACACACACATTTACACACTGGTGGGGATGAGCTACAATGTAGCCACAGCTGCCCTGGGGCACACTGACAGAGGCGAGGCTGCCGAGCACTGGCGCGACCGGTCCCTCCGACCACCACCAGCAGGCAACGTGGGTTAAGTGTCTTGCCCAAGGACACAACGACAGCGACAGACTGAGCGGGGCTCGAAACTGCAACCTTCCGATTACGGGGTGAGCACTTAACTCCTGTGCCACCGTGGCCCCGAGTCTCGACATGATTAGCAGGTGTATAACCTTTTCAAAGTCTTTGATTGGTAAATAGGGCTCGACTTAACTAAAAACACGCAAGTTTAAAAATGCCATCAATGAAAAAACCCAGATTTCTTGCCTGAGACGCACAAATGGATTCTAAAGGGCCAAATACACTATTTACCCCATGAAACAGCCCAAGGTCCCCAAAAACAACAATTTCCGTCTTTTTGTCATTTAAAGTCAGAAGGTTCAATTGTAGCCAGTTTTTTACATCTTTTAAACAATTCAGTAATTTGTCAATCGATGGCCATCGAGAATGTAGTGGGACATATATCTGCACATCGTCCGCAAAGAAGTGATACACGACGCCATGTTTATGAAAGATTGCACCAAGAGGCAACATATACAGCAAGAACAAGAGCGGGCCCAAAACGGAACCTTGAGGGACACCACAACTAAGTTTCGCTGGAGACGAACAACACTGCCCCATATTTACTGTAAAAGTCCTGTCTGACAGGTAGGACTTAAACCACTGCAACACTGAGCCGCTGATGCCAACGTCATGCTCTAGGCGGGATAAAAGGATCTGATGGTCCACCGTATCAAAGGCCGCTGTTAGGTCTAAAAGAATCATTACAGCTGATTGACCAAAATTGATAGTTAAACATATATCATGATGGTCATAGATGGTCTTCATAGTTCTGCTGGGGGCTTCAGTGCTCACACTGGCAATGACAATGTGACCTGTGGCATGATCCGTAGGAACACCACACCCCATCTAACTGCAGGTTAGAGTTGGACCATAATGAACACCACATTTGAACATATGGACGCCCACGTGGTACCAGCCTAGGCTGCATGTCAATGATTGACTTTGTAATCCCGACATCTGACCTGCCACTATAGGTTTTGGACCGTTCAGGTGAGGAGGGGAGTGGACTGTCAACTGATCCCCGCCTGATGGTGAGACGATTAGATCCGATGACAGGGAAATACGCCACGTGGACCTGGCAGTCGCAAATGTATAGTGAGAGTCTGCTGGGAATGCCCGATGAAAGAATCTGTCAAAATGGCCCTCCACCTCAGGGAGAGTTTTGACTGTAGCCTGGTTTACACTTGGTCGTCAGCTCAAGAGCGGTTGTGCACACGCATGACCTAGATGTTTTCCTTTCAGACTTCTCTATTTCCTGGGAAGTGTTGCTAAGCAGTTCCCTGCCAGGACAACAGAGGACGTAGAGCCACTATTGCAGTTAGAAGAAGAAGAAGAAAAAAAAGAAAAAGAAGAAGAAGAAAAAAAAATCTCATTTCGATAGCGCCTCTCATGATAAAAATCACGAGGCACTTCACAAAAATAAAATATGAAAAATATAAAAAAGTATTTAGAAAATGGTTAAAAATATATTTAAAATGAGCAAAAAATAGACAATTGTGATTTAAAAATGTTAAGAAAGAGAGAAAAGTGAATAGGAAAGAGGGAAATCAGTGGATCCTGAGGAAGGTGGAATAGGTGGGGAGAGCAGAATAAAGAGAGAGTGGTGAAGGTCATACAAAAGCCAGCTTGAACAAGTGAGTCTTCAGCTGCTTTTTAAAGGAGTCCACTGAGTCCACTGATCTCAGGCTCAGGGGGAGAGAGTTCCAGAGTCTGGGGGCCACAGCAGCAAATGATCTGTCACCTTTGGTCTTTAGCCTGGTGCTGCACAACCAGTAGGCTTTGATCACTGGACCTCAGGGACCTGCTGGGGGTGTAGGGACTAAGAAGATCACCATCGTATGATGGTGCTTGTCCATGTAAGGCCCTATAGACCAGAACCAGGATCTTGAAATGAACCCTGAAGTTGACTGGCAGCCAATGAAGCTAGAGGAGAAGCGGGGTGATGTGGGTGTGTTTGGAGGACTTGGTCAGAAGCCGAGCACAGGCATTCTGAACCTCCTGTAGACGGTTCAGGGAGGTTTTGCTCAGACACGTGAAAAGAGAGTTACAGTAGTCTAAGCATGAGGAGATGAAGGTGTGGAGAACTGTCTCAAATTCAGAGTGGGACAGAATGAGACTCAGCGTAGCAATGTTCCTGAGATGGAAGAAGGAAGAGCGAACAAGATAACTGACATGAGAATCCAGGGTGTGAGCTGGGTCAAAGGTCACGTCAAGATTCCTGACAGAAGGTTTGGTGTGAGAAGCAAGCTGACCAAGAGAGTCTCTGACTTTGGGAACCAGCTTGTCTAGGGCACAGATGAGGATCTCAGTCTTATCTTCATTCAGCTGAAGAAAGCTCCCAGCCATCCAGGTTGTGATAGAGTCTAAGCAGGTGTGTAACAGCTGCAGCTTAGACATCTCATGGGGCTTAAAGGAGATGTACAGTTGGATGTCATCTGCATAAAAATGGTAGGAGATTCCTTTGAAGGAGCTCAGGATGTGCTGAAGAGGAAGCAGATAGAGGAGGAAGAGCTGAGGCCCCAGCACGGAACCTTGTGGGACACCATCAGCTTGGGATTCCCTTGCTCTGGGACACCAGGTTGGAGAAATAGGAAACCCTAGCGTCTCTGACTGCAGAGTTAAAGGATGTCAGAAGATCCTTTAGGTGCAGCAGATGGACGTGGAAATGGGTTTTCTTCCACAAGCGCTCAATTTTTCTGAACTGGCGCTTTAGACTGCAAAGGCTGTCATTAAACCAGGAGTAGGGTTCACTGCAGGAACTGATCTGGTTCTGACAGGACAGATGTGGTCCAGAATGGAGAGGCAGTGCTCCTTAAGCTGAGAAGTTAAGGAATCTGGGTCGTTATCAGAAGAACAGGGTGGATCAAAAGCAGCAGAAAAATTGCTAGCTGTGCTCTCATTAAGAAAACGAGAACTAACCGTACGGCGAACAGGAGGTGGGGACGCAGAAATTGACAAGTTAAAGAAAATGCAATGGTGATCTGAAATATAATCGTCCTCAGGACAAACACTGCCAGCATTTAGACTCAGGGTAAAAACAAGGTCTAGAGTTTGCCAGTTACATCTGTGCTCCAGGATCATGTATTTATTATTGTGTATTCATGTATTTCAGAGTTTTTAACACAAAGCTGTCCCTCCTGTTCCTCCTACTCTTCAGACCACCACCTCCAAACCCAACTTTCCTGTCATTTCCCTCTATGAATAAAAAGTTTGTTGCGTATCTTTGTGCTCCATCAGTCGCAGGTGTAAAAACGTTTATATCGCCAGACTTCTTCCACACGCTGCTCTCCGGTCTGTTCCGTGCCTGCTGCTAGATGTCTTCAACACTCTTATTTTTTCGAGGGGGGAATGGCGGTACTGTTGACAGATTTAAAGGAAGTGATATCCTGACTAATAACAGGCTTGTGGTCTTCGTCACATTCAACAGACAGTTAAAAAAATTGGGAATGTCTCCGGAATCCTCTGCGATGACGCATCATGGCGTTGTGTCTCTCTGTCGCCCAGCTGACAGAAAAGTAGAAAGTAGGCTAATGCAGTGGGGGACACTAAGGCCCTGTCCACACGTAGCCGGGGATCTGCCAAAACGTAGATATTTTCCTACGTTTTGGCCTGTCATCCACACAAAAACTGAGTTTTTTCACACGAAAACGGATCTTTTTAAAAACTCCGGCCAAAGTGAAGATCTGCGTTTTCTCCGTTTTGGGTGTCTGCGTGTGGACAGACAAAACCGGAGTTTTAAGGTCCGCAACGTCACTTTCCGCGACCAAAAAATGCTGACATCACGTGTGCGACCTGTGTTTACACTAGCCGACATCATGGAAGCCCTCAGAGCTGCGCTCGCTTTATCAATTGTCCAAGCGCTTTTTGCTTGTTTGTTTTTGCAAGAGGAATTACTGCTCCTTGCGGAAGACCACAGACGAAGGACGAGGTTAAGAACGGGAGAAGTACTGCCGCCTACAGGTCTGGCATGTCCTTAACAACGTATTTATCCGGGTACGTGTGGACAGAGTTTTTTTTTTTAAACTAGGTGGTGTGGATGCAAGTTTTTGGAGGGGCGGATATTCGTTTTTGAAAAAACCCGGCTACGTGTGGACTAGGCCTGAGTGTGAACAGACCTTGTTCCATAACTCATGGTGGTAGTCCCCGGGTTCTCTGGTGGACACCAGAGGTTAGGGGTGCCATCAGGCTGAAGAAGCAGGCCTGAGGAATGGTTGGTCTGTTGGTCTCTAGATGCTGCAGATGAGGACAGGAGGGCAAAACTATGGTGTTCGCTGCTGTAAATCCTTGTGTGTGTGAGATTAATGCATATAGTACATTAGCACCCTAAGTACTGACATCTTTGATCCAAATCACAAAAGCAGGGCTCTTCAGAGAGAGAGGATAAATAGGGCGAGAGAGTCGTGTACTCATCACCACGGTGCTCTCCTAAGCCGCTGTTTTATACACTGTTTGGTTCAAAGTCACTCACGCAGATGCTTCTGTGCACAAAGGTGCTGTTTTAATGCACACTTTTTCACCGTTTTCTTTTGATTAAGAGAGCATGGAAGGAAAAATGACAACTTCATCTTTTTTTTTCTTACCTCCAGGGCCTGTAGGCTTGCCATACCATGGAGTCAACACCACAGCTAGAGCAGCCTTCTGAGCATCAGACATCAGAGCAATCTGCTGTGGTGTTACTGCCACAGCTTGCTCATAGGAGAACAAGCTGATCTGTTTCTGGTCAAACACCACCTGAAGGAAACAAGGAGGCCGTCAAATATATACATACAATAAACAGGAACACAGATCACGACTTGCTCTAACATCCATCATATGAAGCTTGTGAAAAACAGAAAATGAGACCATGTTGTTGTTGTTGTTGTTGTTGTTGACTTACTGCAAACTTGCCAGGCAGTATCATTGAAATAGCTGCAGGAGAGATTCCATCAATCTGCACTTTCACTAAAGCTGACATGGCCATATCTGGGAGACCAGCTGAAAAAAAAACGAGAAAATGTTGCAAAGGAAGTCGTGCATCAAGCTGTGCAAAGAGATCCAGAATATCTCACACACTAAATAAACACACCACCTGCCAGAACTCCAATCTCAATGAACACATCTGTGTCCCACGAACTTATGAGTCCAAAAGCAAGAGGGTTGGTGAGCAACGCATTCAGAGCCAGCATCTGGTCCTCTGAGCAAGGCAGCTTCAGCTGACCCAGATAGAGTACCGCCTTACTGCAGCCACAAGAGGGAGACAAAGCACGATAAGGTATTTAAAACAACTCTCATGCTGGTGTGTGTGTGTGTGTGTGTGTGTGTGTGTGTGTGTGTGTGTGTGTGTGTGTGTGTGTGTGTGTTGCACACCTAAACTCTACATTATTAAAAGAATTGATATCTGTGGTTTTCGCTCCACACACGATGTATCCCATTGCCACCAGGGTGCTAGAGTCCAGCTGGCTTGCACTCTTCTTGGTGGCATTTAACACGGTGGTAAACAGGGCAGTCAGCTAGAATGACAACAAAAGTTTATTTTTTAAATACATTAATCATTTATTAGTGATACATTTCATTAGCCTAGCAAGCCATCCTATGTATGTGAACTTATAGTCTGGCCACAACCCGTAGACGGCTCTCTGTCCCGGGGCGGGATCTACGGTTGTCTTTCAAAGCATGCTTTTGGACAAGCATGAGACATACTCACCGTTGCAGATGTGAGTGAACAGGGCAGTCCACCACACACCGCAAGACGAAAATAGATCATTTTTCTAAATAAACTTAAGTACTTCTTTCTGCCCTTGACTCAAAGAAAAGCCCATGTCTAAATTGTCCAAAGTTGATGCCAAAGTCAAGGGCGTAGATTTGGCATGGATGGAGGTGACGTGTCCCCACCAATAATTTGACTGTCCCCGTTAAAAACAATAAGTCTCATTACTCATGATGGCTCCTCGAGTCCTACCTCCATAATGCAAATGGCCAGTGTGATTAGCTGCACTTGCTGTCACAGGAGACTCACCTGAGACAAACTACACTGGTTGTTAGCAGAGCCAGAGCTGAAAGGAAAACTGTCCAGTCGTGTGCAAGACTCCTGTGTTTGCAATGCGACATGAGTGACACATGAGCCGAAAGCCAGTGAGTTTACCCGATGGTCCAGACAGGATGGTAGATTTACAAGTCCCCCACCAATGTCACGAGCAAATCTACACCAACGATCACAGTTGTTTCAAACGAGCCATCCCCATCTTTGTTTCACTCAGTCACAGTAACATCCCACCCACCAAACCGCTGTGATTGGCCAGTCACCAGACAGGCGGGGGCTGTGGAAGTTCCAATGGAGTGTGCCTTAACTGGCATCTGTTTGCAGAGCTAAATCTTTTTGCTTCCGCAACTGATGGTCTAGATTTCAGGGCTGACATTCCCTATCTCATAGGCATAAAATAAATATTTAAAAATAGATAAGAAAGTGTCATTTTGGAAAAAAAAAAACATGCTGTAAGATGGTAAACAACCTGTTTGCTTGTCCAGTTAGAAACAGCCCCCAAAGAACTGATGCTCCTTACATCCGTCAGTTGGAGAGTACTCAGCTCATCTGCTGTCAGCGCTGTTGCTATCCCACCAAGCTGAGTGATCAGAGACGGGGGAAAGGACGAAACGGGGCCGAATATCTTCACACCGTGACAGGTGGTCCATCAGAAGAAACAACAAACATGAAACATTAAATCATCACCATGAGGAGCAAACACGGCTGTGCGCAAGCTCAAGCTGAACCCATAAGTGGATCAACCAACCCAACCTTTTTGACCCTCTTGAGAACCTCACTGCGCTGGTAGCTCGCCATGAATGAGTCCAAGCCCATCAGCTCCAGACAGTTGATGAAAGCAGAGGTGGGCATGCTGCTGAGGCTGCCGGATGTCCAGGCGGACGGAGCTGTCGTACGCAGAATCTCGCAGGTCGGAACCTTAGGAGCCACTGAAGATGGGAACAAAAAGGACCACTTTAATTAAAAGAGACAAACATTTCACTGACATGGCTGAAATACACAGGTGGAACTGAAAAAAGTGTGTGAATTACGTGCAAGTGTTCACTTCTGTCAGAAAATCTACTTAAAAGGTGAAAGTAATATTCGATTCAATTCAAGTTTATTTATATAGCGCCAAGAGTCGTCTCAAGGCACTTCACATAATAAACATTCCAATTCAGGTCAGTTCATTAAGCCAATCAGAAATAATGTTTCCTATATGAGGAACCCAGCAAATTGCATCAAGTCAGCAATCCTCATACTAAGCAAGCATAAAGCGACAGTGGAGAGGAAAACTCCCTTTTAACTGGAAGAAACCTCCAGAGAATCCCGGCTCAGTATAAGCAGCCATCCACCACGACTCACTGGGGATCGAGAAGACAGAGCACACACACACATACACACACACGCACGCACGCACACGCACACACACACACGCACGCTCGCACACACACGCACACACACAAAAACAAGTAAAGTGTCTATAGTTATATTGTGATGTCTTAGTAAATATTCTACTTGGTGAAAGATAAATTTTATTGTATTTATCCTAGTGGATCTATAATTAAATGGGTAAACTAGCAGTAGCACATCCAAAGTCAAGGAAAGCAAAAAGTTATTATCAGGAGGGGGAGAATGTTTTAGTTGTTAGAAGCAGTGTGCTAGTCGATGGCCCCCTCCATGAGGCCACCACAGCTCAGCAGAACATCGTTGTAGCGTCTTCTGGGGAGAAAAACACTTACAGAGAAAATAAAGTTAACAGCTGAAATTGCAGAAAATACAGTTAAAGAGCAGACTGTAGAAGAAAGCAGTAGAGTGTGAAAAGTGGTCAGTGTATCCTCCAGCAGTCTAAGGCCCTGTCCACACGTAGCCGGGGATCTGCCTAAACGTAGATATTTTTCTACGTTTTGGCCTGTCATCCACACGAAAACGGATCTTTTTAAAAACTCCGGCCAAAGTGAAGATCGCGTTTTCTCCGTTTTGGGTGTCTGAGTGTGGACAGACAAAACCAGAGTTTTAAGGTCCGCAACAAAAAAATGCTGACATCACGTGTGCGACCTGTGTTTACACTAGCCGGCATCAAGGAAGCCCTCAGAGCGGCGCTCTGTCACTACCCGATCCATCAATTGTCCAAGCGCTTTTTGCTTCTTTGTTTTTGCAAGCGGAATTACTGCTCCTTGCGGAAGACCACAGACGAAGGACGAGGTTAAGAACGGGGGAAGTACTACCGCCTACAGGTCTGGCATGTCCTTAACAACGTATTTATCCGGGGACGTGTGGACAGTTTGTTTTTAAAACGCGGTGGTGTGGATGCAAGTTTTTGGAGGGGCGGATATTCGTTTTTAAAAACCCCGGCTACGTGTGGACAGGGCCTAAGCCTATAGCAGCATAACTACAGAGATAACTCTGGATAATCTATCCTATTTAGATGGAGGCATGTTGGAGTCAGGGCAAGGGAGAGCCGTCTTTACCGACTGTACACTCCACCTCCCTGTACTCCCCCACTTGTCCAGATTAAGGCTAACATCAGATTTTAACCATAGGCCCTATCAAATAAAAATGTTTTAAGCCTAGTCTTAAAAGTAGACAAAGTGTCTGCCTCACGGACTAAAGCTGGGAGCTGGTTCCACAGGAGAGGAGCCTGATAACTAAAAGATCTGCCTCCCATCCTAATTTTAGATATTCTGGGAACCACCAGTAGACCTGCAGTCTGAGAGCGAAGTGCTCGGTTAGGAACGTGTGGAACAATCAAATCACTGATGTATGATGGAGCTTGATTATTAAGAGCATTATGTGTGAGAAGAAGGATATTAAAATCTATTCTGAATTCAACAGGTAGCCAATGTAGGGAAGCTAAGACAGGAGAGATATGATCTCTCTTTTTAATTCTCATCAGAACTCTAGCTGCAGCATTTTGGACAAGCTGAAAACTTTTAACTACATTCTGTGGACTTCCTGAGAGTAATGAATTACAGTAATCCAGTCTTGATGTAATAAATGCATGAACTAGTTTTATATGAGATGGACTCACTACATGCAAAGCCAGATGTGTCAGTCTTTATTTGTTCTATTTGTGATGATTATGGCCTACAGCTGACGAAAACCTCCCATTCAAAATCTCAGATTAGATTATTGTGAAAAGGTTCAGTATTCTAGACTCAAAATTGTCTTCGTCGTCGTCTATCTCTGCTTATCCGGGTCCGGGTCGCGGGGGCAGCATCCCAACTAGGGAGCTCCAGACCGTCCTCTCCCCAGCCACCTCCACCAGCTCCTCCGGCAGGACCCCAAGGCGTTCCCGGACCAGACTGGAGATGTGAACTCTCCAACGTGTCCTGGGTAAACCCGGGGGCCTCCTGCCAGCAGGACATGCCTGAAACACCTCCCCAGGGAGGCGTCCAGGAGGCATCCTGACCAGATGCCCAAACCACCTCAACTGACTCCTTTCGATCCGGAGGAGCAGCGGTTCTAATCAGAGTCCCTCCCGAATGTCCGAGCTCCTCACCCTATCTCTAAGGCTGAGCCTGGCCACTCTACAGAGGAAACTCATTTCGGCCGCTTGTATCCGCGATCTCGTTCTTTCGGTCATTACCCAAAGCTCATGACCATAGGTGAGGATTGGGACCTAGATTGACCGGTAAATGATAAATGATAAATGACCCGCACTTGTATAGCGCCTCTCAGAGTAAGGACTCCAAAGCGCTTTACACTACAGTGTATCATTCATCCATTCACACACATTCACACACTGATGGTGATGAGCTACGATGTAGCCACAGCTGCCCTGGGGCGCACTGACAGAGGCGAGACTGACGAGCACAGGCGCCACCGGTCCCTCCGACCACCACCAGCAGGCAGGGGGGGGTTAAGTGTCTTGCCCAAGGACACAACAGCAGAATTCTCTGTCTGGAGCTGGGATCGAACCTGCAACCTTCCGATTACTGGACAACCCGCTCAACCTGTTGAGCTACTGCTGCCTCGAGAGCCTGGCTTTCTGGCTCAGCTCCCTCTTCACCACGACAGATCGGCTCAGCGTCCGCATCACTGCAGACGCCGAACAAATCCACCTGTCGATCTCCCGATCCCTCCTACCCTCACTCGTGAAAAGACCACGAGATACTTAAACTCCTCCACTTGAGGTAGGACCTCTCTCCCGACCCGGAGTTGGCAAGCCACCATTTTCCAGTCGACAACCATGGTCTCAGATTTGGAGGTGCTGATTCTCATCCCAGCCGCTTCACATTCGGCCGCGAACCTACCCAGCAAGAGCTGAAGGTCAGAGCTGGATGAAGCTAGGAGGACCACATAATCCGGAAAAAGCAGAGATGAGATTCTCCTGCCACCAAACTCGACACACTCCACACCACGGCTGCGCCTAGAAATTCTGTCCATAAAGGTAATGAACAGAACCGGTGACAAAGGGCAGGCCTGGCGGAGTCCAACCCTCACTGGGAACAGGTCCGACTTACTACCGGCTATGTGGACCAAACTCACGTTCCTCTGGTAAAGGGACTGAATGGCCCTTAACAGAAAGCCACCCACCCCATACTCCTGGAGCGTCCCCCACAGGGTGCCCCTGGGGACACAGTCATAAGCCTTCTCCAAATCCACAAAACACATGTGGATTGGTTGGACAAACTCCCATGCCCCCTCCATCACCCTCGCAAGAGTATAGAGCTGGTCCACAGTTCCACGGCCAGGACGAAAACCACATTGCTCCTCCTCAATCTGAGATTCAACTATCGATCGAACCCTCCTCTCCAGTATTTTTCCAGGGAGGCTGAGGAGTGTGATCCCCCTATAGTTGGAACACACCCTCAGGTCACCCTTCTTAAAGATGGGGACCACCACCCCGGTCTGCCACTCCACAGGAACTGTCCCCGATGACCATGCAATGTTGCAGAGACGTGTCAACCACGACAGCCCTACAACATCTATAGCCTTGAGATACCCAGGATGAACCTCGTCTACCCCCGGGGCTCCGCCACTGTGTAGTTGTTTGACTACCTCAGCAACTTCTGCCCCAGAGATTGGACAGTCCATCCCCAGGTCTCCCAGCTCTGGCTCCTCCTCAGAATGCGTGTAAGTGGGATTGAGGAGCTCCTCAAAGTATTCCTTTCACCGCCCGACTATAGCCCCAGTTGACATCAGCAGCTCCCCATCCCCACTGTAAACAGTGTGAGCGAGTTGCTGCCTCCCTCTCCTGAGGCGCCGGACAGTTTGCCAGAACCTTTCTGGCGCCAATCGATAGTCTTCGGTGTCAAAGACAAAAAAAGTGTCACATTCTAATCAGCTGATGACTCCAGAAGACCTGTAAAGGGTTCCCGAGCCTTTAGATGGTCTTTCAGTTAAATTACTGAAATAAATTGACTTTTGCATGATAATCTAGTTTGTAGAGCTTGACCTGTGTCTGCCAATGTTGAGTTCAAATGTTGGAAATCTAATCTTTGGCAACGAACGAAAGTGTGCACAACTTTCTTACCACTGACAGAAAACACACATTTTCTCATGCTTGGCTTAAAGACAAGCATTACTCTCCTTGCACCAAAGTCATACTCACATGATGTGGTGCTCATTGTGAGGAAACCCAGGAAGAACTGCAGAACAAACTGCTGTTTAGAAAAGATGGCCGCCCTGTCATTCTGGTCTGAACAGAAGGTTCCCACGACTCCACCTTCCCACTGACGCTGGCTCATGAACAGCTTCTCTATTTGCCCCACAGTCATCAGTGGCTGCAGGAAAAAACACACACATATGCGTGGCTTAAAGGTGAAACAGACTGACCCTAAGACACACCACGGTACCGGTACAGACAAATTAGGGATTTATTTACAGCACTCGCTGACCCGACCTGCCCTTGGATCACGTTTTCAAGGACAACCTTTACTTGGTTCTCTAATTTCAGGAGCTATTGCGATGTTATAAAACAGAATAAAGGTGCTGTAATAAACTCACCAGTGGAATATCTTGAAGCACATTGACAGGCAGAAAGAAGACAAACCGCTCCACCTGACTCAGAGTCACCTGGGTCCAGTTCTTCACAGAACTGTGAACAAAAACTCGTTTTGATCCCTAGTTTACAACGATTGCTTGTAAAATTAGGATTCTTAAAAAAATCATTGAACATTTTGGTAATACTTTAGTTTAGGGAACACAAATTAACCATTAATTAGCTGCCAATTAATATGCATATTAGTGAAAACTAAGTCTGAAATAGTCATTATTAAGCTATTATTAGGTGTTTATTACCAATGCTGTAATTCTCATGTTAACAGGCCATAAATTAAGAGTTTTAACGAAATAAGCCATTCATAATGGTTTGTTAGCTGAAAGTAAATGGTTTATTGCTGATTAATGCACATACTAATTAGCTCAAATCACTATGTGGCTTTTAACAAAGTTATTCAAGGGGATTAATTATTCTGCATTAATAACCAAAGATATTATGTTCTGGTATTATGTAAATAAACACCAAACTCTACATGTTATTAGAGCCTAAACAACAATCAATTCACCACTTAAAGTCAGAGCTAATTAGTATGTGCGTTAATCAGCAATAAACCATTATGAATGGCTTATTTTGATTAAACTCTTAATTTATGGCCTATTAATGTTAGAATTAGGGCATTAGTAATAAGCAGTTAATAAGTGCTTAATAATGACTAGTTCAGATTTAGTAGACCGTTAATATGCGTATTAATTGGCAGCTAATTAATGGTAAATTTGTATTTCCTAAACTAAAGTGTTACCAAATTTTACATTTTAAATACAAAACTTGAAATTCATTGTTGCACATTTTTGTTTTTCACAATGCCAAAAATGTCATGTGCATAAAAACAAATATAAAAAAAACATATTACATAAATTATATATTACATGCTTCATTTTTGCATTTCAACATCTCCTGTTCCATTATCATTAAATGCACAACTACAATGACTATTTGGATGTTTTAAATGTTTTATCAATTGAAAGACTCGGTTGAAATCTGTAGGGATTTTACCCAAAAACAGCAGGTTCTTGAAGGATGCGAGACACAATGTCCATCTTGCTGCTGCTGTAGCAGAGCGATTTAATGTAATGCAGATTTTGAATAAAGAAGCTTCGGTCCACCTGAATGAAAACTTCATCGGCCACAAATGAGGCCATAACGCCCAGTGAAAGGAACTCCTCCTTCGTAAACATACCCGTGTACATCCCCTGCAGAAACACAGTAAATATATGGAAATAAATATGAGATTATTCAGATAGAAAATGTAAAAATGTTTTATTTATTAACTAGATGTAAGTAAAATGGATAATTTGCAACTTTTTTTTATATTTTTTAATCATTTTCTTGAGCCAGTATGTGCTAAAATGACCCTTTACAGGGTTAATGAAAGGCCACCTGGCCAATAACAACCCCTGTGACCAGAATATTCCACTTGCATCTTCAGCCTGGCGGGCCGCTCTGTTGGGTCTTGGAAAAAAAAAACATGAGCTGACACATCAGGCGCTGCAGTCTGCTTCCAGCACGTTTCCTGCATGCTTTGGATCATGAACTCAGTTGATTTGTTTAATTTATTGATGAATCACTCCTGTAGAGTCTGGAGACAACTCAGCTGTTAGATCAAAGTTGAAAAAGACGAAAGCACAGCGAGGGGATAGGTTTTGCTTTCAGTCATACAAACAGACACTAGAGGGTGTCAAAAGCAAGCCAAAACTGCCTAGTTCCACTATCATCTAAATTATAAGACCTGGCAAACACTGTTTTGTATTTCTGCATTCTGCAAATTTTCTGTATTCACTTACTGTCCCAACCATTTCTCTCCTTAGATTTTAACAAATGAACAGTTCTTTGTTTTCCCTAAGTGACAGATCTACTCACAAGTGTCTGTAACATCCTGTCCACCAGAAGGAGCTGTTTTGTTGCAGGCCACACGAGGAAGTAGCTCGGTTTTTCAACAATCATTTTCCTCAGAGTGTCCATCATGCCTGGAGAAAACTTACTAAACGTGCTCATCCTGGAAGCAGAAATATAACGACACCATATGTTACCAGTAACTTAAAATGATTAATGTGACGTAACGTTTCTGCTGCTTGCTTCAATAACTCTGCACCAGAACTGAACAAGTATTCAGAGGCTTACGTCATTTCTTAGTTTTCTTTGTTGCGTACAATGTGCAGTGATATTTCAATAAAGGATTTTGAGAAACAGCTCTTCAAATGTAATTAATTAGCTTGTATAGGAGTAGTTCTGGGAGTGCAGCTGACTTACGACATGGACAACGCTATTTCAACCCCAAAGTCCTGAAGCAGCTGAGTGAAAAAGTCAAACGGATACAGGCCCTCGATCACGCAGTTTTTCTGTCCAGATAAAACAGATTGGACATAATGATGACTACATGGTATTCATTATTTATAAAGTTTGAGAAGTTTAATTTGATTAAACAAACCATTACAAGGATCATCTGAATGACCTCAGATGGAAGAAATACAGATCATTTTGTGATCACGCTGTGTTTCTTCTAAACAAGTTACAGACAATTTCTAGGAAGAGGACAGGTGACGGGGAAAACACGCTGGCTCAGTCCTCTCCGCCATTCTGGCTCCATATAAAATTTCAAGGACTTTGTATGGACTCAGCATTTTACAACTGTTTCGGGAGTAATGTCCAGTGTTGTGCCCGATCGTTCATGAATATGTTCATTTTTTTCGTGAACATGAACTGAACTCGCTCGTATTTTGCCTGACGAACATAAAAGTGAGTGCGTTCATCCTGGCACGAGTGAACGTGTTTATGAACGCGTTCATTCGCTGTTCTAGCTCCAGATCTCCACTGAGCTTTTCCGGAGCTAAAGCCTAGCTAAAATATCCAGTCAACCATAGAGTTTATAACAAGTAGAACCTGCAAATGCGGCCAAACACAGGCAGTAGCGGTTGGTGCGGCGTCTACTCCTCTACTTCTATGATGTGTGCAGGAGTCAAAGTTCATTCAGAAAAATTTAAACGGGACTTAACTGAAAGATTATACATTTTTAAATGTTTTGCACTTTCAATATTGCAGTTTGAGTTTGCTACCTCAACCTGCTTCCTAAGATTGTTTAATAATTTCCCCCCCAAAAAAACGTTCAAATAATGTTTTCCTCATGTTATTGAGAATATACTGTAGTGTAAAAAACTGCAGCTGGGTGTGAGTGTGGACTGAACAGAGCCAACTGTTGGAAAATTATTTCATAATGTCATGTACCGAGTTCAGAAGACCCGTGAAGACGCCAACACAGTAAAAATATATAAAAAGTCTTTATTGAAGGCAGAGGTACCTGGAGGGCAAGGCTGAAGCAGGGTCAGAGACAGGCAAGGTCAAGATGGCAGGCAGCGAGCAAGGCAGGGGTCAGGCAAAAAACAAGGTCCAGAGGGAGAGATCAGGCAGGGTGGATGGCTGGAGAACTACTGGCAGAGCTGTAATAATCTGGCCTCTGTTGACTGGATGGCTGGTTCTTTTATAGCAGGGGAAGCAGGTGAATGGGATGAGGCTGATTACAGGAGCAGGTGGAATGAATGGAGCTGATTGAAGCTGACAGGTTGCTGGGGAAAGCAGGGCTTGGCTGGAGCTTGGTGAGAGGAACCAGGTGAGCTGAATGAAGGTATAATGAGGAAGTGGAGGAGGGTGAAGGATGGGAGTCATGACACATAAGCTATATATATATATATATATATATATATATATATATATATATATATATATTTGTATATGTGTATATATATTTGTATATGTGTATATATATATATATATATGTGTATATATATATATATATATATATATATATATATATATATATATATATACATATCATTTTTGACCAGGCTGTGGTACATTATATATATATATATATATATATATATATATATATATATATATATATATATATATATATATATATATATATATATACACACATATATATATACATATACATATACACACATTTATATATATATACACATATAAAAATATATATATATATATATATGTATATATGCATGTTTCCTGCATGTTTTACATCATGAACACAGCTGATTTGTATGATTTAGTGATGAATCCCTCCTGTAGAAAATAATGAAGACTGAGGAGACATTTCAGAAGTTAGAAGGTGTTAAAAAGACGAACACTCAGTGGGTTTCACTTTCGGTTTCACGACTGAGTTAAACGGACTCTAGGAGGGGATAAAAGCAAACTAAAACTACCTAGTTTCCCTTTAATGACAGAAAACAGTTTTTACAGCACTCTGTATGAGACCACAAAATTGCGTAAATTATGGCATTTTGGGGATTTCCTTTGCATTTTTAGGCGTACAGATTTGCAATTTCATATAAAAGTTTTATTCTGTCAATGTACGGCAATTTAATCCCTTTGGAGGACTGGGAGAGCTGCTGTGCAGTGTAAAATCTCACTTTCAATGAGCAGAAGAAGCACATTTTTTTTACGGTGCTCTGTGAGAAAACAAAGCAAAGACCCGTGAATTACGTCATTGTGGGGGGATTTCCACAGCGTTTTTTGGTGTTGGGAGTTTAGAGGGATACTTTGCAACTTTTTCATATTTTTAAATTCTATTCGAGTCAGTTTGAGCTAAAATGACCCTTTACAGGGTTAATGAAAGGCCACCCAGCCTCTATCGCCACCTGTTGCCAGAAAATTCCACTTGCATCTTCAGACTTGCGGGCTGCTCTGTTGAGACTTTGAAAAATGGAGCTGACAGACCTGGCGCTGCAGTCTGCTTCCTGTACGTTTCTTGCATGTTTTAGATCATGAACAGAGCTGATTTGTTTAATTTTGTGATTAACCACTCCTGTAGACACCATGGAAGGCTAGGAGGCATTTCAGCTGCTAGATTAAGGCGTTAAAAAGATGACCACACAGCGAGGAGATAGGTTTGGATTTCGTTTCTACAAACGGACACTAGGGGGTGCTAAAAGCAAGCCAAAACTGCCTAGCCTCCCTTTAATAATGGTGATTTTAAAGCTGTGCAAATTGTGCTTATTTGTTTGTGCTTACATTCTGCTTTCCAAGCAATTTTTCCAAATTTTACTAATGCCGGTTGTTTTAGACGACGTCTGCTGATGTCATTTCCTACCGAGTTACAACTAATCAACGTGAGTCAACCAGAACCTCTGCTCAGCTTCTCTAGCGGGCCTTTTTGAGTACCTACCACTGTTCAGGTACTCAGAAAGTTCCTGAAAGTGGCCCGGTAAACGGCTTGTCCGGCCGACACAGGGAAGTGGAGAAACGTGCATGTTGGAAAGTTCCACTAAATTTACCCTGAAGTTCCAATAGTGGAAACGCGTCTATTGTTCCAGAGTAAAAACACAATGCAAAGTAGAAAGCAATATAAAAGGTTGTAAAACATTGTTTACATGAACTTCCAAGCCATTTTGGAGCCTAGGGTTGCTTGAAGAGGACAGAAATCAACGTTGGTCTTGGCCTCACTGAGTAGCAGTGTCCATCTAGTCAGACGCAATCTCTGTTTCTTCAAACTGAGGTCATTCAGTGAGGTGCTTGCTTACGTCCTTTTCATATAACATCATTTTTAAAAATCAGAGCTGTTTCCATCAGCTTACCAGTGCGGTGTGAAGAAGGCGAGGCTGCTGCCTGAGGATAGCCAGGATGTTCGTGGCTGAAGAGGGTGTTGGATCAGCCCGAAAGCGGTCCTGTAAGACCTTACAGCTCACACCCTGGCCCAGAGATCCCAAACTCCTGCTTACACAGAGACAGGTTAGTGTTGATGCATCACCCAAAACTGACAGAAAGCTAGGTTAGCAGCAAAAAATGCCTTTAATTATAAAGTGTTTGGGTTGTTCTGATATGACATAGATCTTTTAAAAAATATATTATACTTACAGGAAATTTTGTTTGACTAGATTTGGATTACTGCTGAACAGATAATTGAAAATAGCCTCAGCCTGCAGGAAAAAAAAGAAAAGAAAATTTGTGCTAAGAAGTTGCCATGTGCATTCTGCCTCAGTTTCCTCCAGCTTCCACGAAGACCCACAGGTGTCAGGATTGATCTTGTTTGTGTCTATCCACAGCGTCAGTGAAAATAATGCCTTGGTTTTTGCGTCTCTGCTTAATAATGCAGCAACCAATCAAGTTCCTGTCATGCAAACTGTCTGATGACAAATAAAGGAAGCGTGACGACATCAAACTAAAGTTTAAACATCAGCATCTGCTCCGCGGTACCTGTTGTGTGTTCCAGGGTTCTCTGGTTGTGTTGGAGGCGTTTAAGGCAAGTAGGTGAATCCTGGGCAAGACGCTGAGCAGGGGGGTGCAACTGAGCAATGGCGCCACATCGTTCAACCAGTTGACAACTTCTGGAAAACCCTGGAAAGATGAAGTAAGCAATGGTGCTGCAGAGGCACACTGGTTTGGTAGCATCAAAATCAATTAGCTGTAAACAAAATTGTGATATTAAGATACATTTATGAAAAATGCTAAATCGATGTTTTTTTCAGTGCTCGCATGTTTTATTCAGATTTTCTTCCATCCACACTTCCTATAACTCAAACTGGGCTAAAATGAACATTTCTCCTGTCTGTTGTACCCAGAGTTTGGTGGCGATGGCGTTTGCTTCTGGTGGACGGAGGCCCTTCTGACAGCTGGCCTGTTTGTTTTTGGACAGGGCCTTCAGGACCGACAGCAGTTTGTCAGAGGTGAAGGTCAGCAAGGTCTCCGTCTTTAGTCCTAAAATGAGAGAGCCGAGGTCCTGCAGCTGCCCACCCCACCAAAAAAAAAAGGAGAAAGATTTGAGGGACCAGACATAAAAAAAATCAAACCTACTCCACATTCAGTCTGGGATCCCAGAGGTACTCACAATGGTACTTGATGGCAACTTGTCTAGTATTATAGTGGCCTAAAAACAAGGGACAAAAACAGATGGTTTGTGTATATTTATGTATTTTTCATTCAAAATCAGCTTTAAAAGTTGCTTCATCATATTTACATTCACATAAATGACTCTTTAGCAGTGGTGGAATGAAAGGACGCACGAGTACTTCATTACTGTTTCTGTACTGCTCTCGAGTCATTTTCTTGAGGCTTACTTTTTTACTTTTACTCCACTACATTTAAAAGCAATTATCTGTACCTTCTACTCTGTGTTTTCTAAAAAGTTTCAAAAGTACTTTAATTAGCGTTTTGTCCGAACGCCACCCCACACACACCCGGTCTGATGGAAACCAGCAGCACACTCCCATGTCCACGCCGGACCGCAGGTCCAAAGGTGATAGTACTTAAATTTGAAAATGCAAACTTTATTACTTCCATTTAAAGCTGTAATAACAAATTTGGGAAACAAATTAGCTTAAAACATGTTTTCATGCCTCTCAACAACGTTATAACTCAGTACATCTATGCAGACACTGTGGAGATTTAAAAATCTATCTCTGCCAATAACACGTTTTTGGACCAAAAGCAACTATTGGACCATCCAGCTGAGCATCCCTGGGTCCTCCTTTCATTACACACTTGTGTATTTAGCCGCAGAACACCACTGGTGTGAGAGGTTCTCCGCCTAATAACATCACAGGAGAAAGCAGCTGCTACCACTTCAACTTAAGGACAATCTACCAGAGTCGCAAACAGAAAAACACCATTTGAAGTCACGGACAAGAAGAGAAGGTTGGACCTAGAAAACGCCGACTGGTGTCTAGCGCCATCTTGTTTAACCTGACATTGTGGGTTTTCGGTTCTGGCAGAAGCATCAGGAAAGATACCTGAGGGGAGGGGTAAGTGTTCCGTGACCATGTTTACCTTCAAAACCTAGCTTGTTTGCTACAACAGCTGAGTTTTTTATCCAACGGCACCACCTGGAGGCAGAAAAATGTACTGCATCTCAAGCCGTTCTCCCTCAAGGATTCACGACCAAAAGCAGCGCCTTCCGTTCATGAACGCGCAACTGAGCCAAAAACTTTTATTTTACAATTAGCCTCACGTTATGCTGGCTGTTCATAGAAGTGACAGTTGAAAAATTAGAACATAAAGTAAAGCAAAAGGGGCCCAAACCAAGTAGCACATATGTAAGCATGATCACACATTTCAGATGTCGGACATTTCTCTATTTAAAATCCTTGTTTTATTGATTTCATGTAATTGTCTAATTGTATGAGATTTTGAATGTGGGTTTTTCATAAGGGCTGCGCAGTGGCGCAGTGGTTAGAGCTGTTGCCTTGCAGCGAGAAGGTCCTGGGTTCGATTCCTGGCCTGGGATCTTTCTGCATGGAGTTTGCATGTTCTCCCTGTGCATGCGTGGGTTCTCTCCGGGTACTCCGGCTTCCTCCCACAGTCCAAAAAAACATGACTGTTAGGTTGATTGGTCTGTCCAAATTGTCCTTAGGTGTGTGTGTGTGTGTCTGCCCTGCGATGGATTGGCAACCTGTCCAGGGTTTACCCCGCCTACTTGCCCGTTGACTGCTGGCACCAGCCCCCCCGTGACCCATACGTGGACAAAGTGGGTTCAGAAGATGGATGGATGGGTTTTTCATAAGCTGTAGGCCATAATCATCACTGTTATAAGAGATAATATCTGCCTTTGCAAGTAATCTATCTCACACGTTTCACCTTTAAGTTGAATTACTGGAATAAAATAACTTTTTTATCATATTTAAAGGTTTTAAGCGTCACCGGTATGTACGATTTTTTTTTTACTCCTTTATCTGTACTTTTAACTAAGTAAAGTAATCAAGTACTTCTTCCACCACTGTAACTACAATGAGCACAATGAGGGTGAAATTCTTGTTTCAAAATCTGTAGAAAAAACAAGATTCAAACTCCTTCCAATGTTTCAGCAGCTGTTTGTTTTGAGTATCTGAATTTACTTAAAGGTTCTGGAGGATCTACAGTCAAAACACTCTGAGGTTGGAGTAAAACTATGAGGATCTAGTTTACCTGAGCTGGCGTGAATGAGACGGAACTGAGGGCAGGAAGGGCACCGAGCAGCTGTGACCCTGTGAGACCCTGAAGGAAGGTCACGCCCAGCGTGGGCAGGAGGACGGCCAGCTGTGCCAGTCGGTCAGCACTGAGAGAGGAGGGCACCTGTAACTCTGGGTTGTTCAGGACAAAGGTGGAAATCTGGAAGCAAGATAAACAAAAAGAAAGACATTTCTCCTAAAATACCATCTCCACATGAAGCAACACATAAAAGCATCACTTATCCGTTCCCACCATTTGGCTGGGCATGCTGAGACCTTTCAGGGTGCAGTTCAGGATGGCATCCTGGATGACTGGGAAGGCGCTGGTGTTTTTGTAGGCAAGGAGGTCATCCTGGTCTGCCAGGCAGGTGAGATTTCCCAGCCTGAAAGCACAGGCACTGTGTGAACACCTCTGAGACATGATGTTGCTAAATATATTTTTTATTTACTCATTGGAGGCATATGATGAATAACTGAGATAGAGTACAGTTAACTTTACAGTTACTTTTCTTTATATGGCAGATCATCTCATTTTACTCGTGACACGGGTTCAAGATGCCAACAAACATTAACTTGTGTTTCAAAAATGGGCCGAGTGGTCACTTCTTACTTCATAAAGTCCTGCGCCGTCAGGTTCTTGTAGGTCCTTGTGAGTTGGTTGGCTATGAATTCCTGTTTTAGGGAGGAAAGCGTGTTTCTCTGCAGCACGTCCAGCCCGCCTAACAGCTGCAGACAAAACACGAGCGTGGACTTAGATCTCATTGTTACAGTTACATTCCTCAGAACCGTCATCTTGTTTTAGGAAATTGTTCCGTTTCGCTTGAGGAGAACTTCTGTGTTTGGTCAGTCCAGAAAGGGCTGCTTATGTATGGAGATAAAACGACTGAGAGGACCGAGCCATCGTATTTTCTTTGTCGCCTTCCCCTCTTCCCAGAAATGTCAAGGACCTCCTAAAGTGGAAGCATGGCTTAACTTGTACACTGATTTAATATTTTATCAGAGTTGTTGTTTTTTAGCTATAAAAACTGGCCGTGTTAGAACTTGTTGCACTTTAGTACAACCGCTTGCAAAACAAGTTTTATGATTCAAGTGAATTCTGATGCGAAAGAAAGATTAAGTAAGTCCACAACGGTGTTTGTTGGAATAACTTTGGGATCTTCAAGGTTTTATTTGTTCTAGAGTTTAAATTTGATCTAAATGAGGCATCACTCTGATTAGAGTCAAGCTTAAAGGTGTGGAACTCTGAAAAAACATGTTTAATGATAAAATAATTCACTTTGGATTTATTTGTGCAGGTAGTCTCCTACACCTGTCTCCTGCATTAGCTTCTGATAGAAAACAGACGGTGAAACTCTAGGATTAGAAAATCCTGACAGATCTACGTCACACTGCCAAGCAAAGCTTGGGAGTTTTTAGAGATTGAAAATCGCCTCCCGCTGAGAGGCTCCCAGTTGGGGAGGGGAGGAGATGCGTGCAACATGAAGAGTTATGAATGTTAGATAAAACGTATAATTGCCAGCAGGTCTGGTCTTTGTTGACTGATCACTTCGTCTGGTAATGACTGACTCTGATTATGAAGCAGAATATTGACTCTGATGAAGAAATTCACTCATCCAGCCAGAAGATTGACGCTGCTGCAGCATCAGACAGCTGGTGCTGCACGAGAGGTGTGTGGAGTTTACAAGCTCCAAACGTTGGGTTTGATGTTGGTTTAACCTTCTCTGGGACGTGATGGATGTAGAAATGATGGTAAAACACTGCTAACTTGACAGACGTAGCAACAATGTAAAAAAAAGCCATAAAAAAGAGGCAGATGCTGATGCGTTATATATGGAAGTCAAGTGTGCCACAAAATCATAAAAAAAGTCAAATATAAAATTTAAAAAGAGATTTATATATTTATATATAAATTAAAACTTTCCAAATATCATAAATACATTTATAAATAAAAAAACGTAAAAATACGAAGGAACATCTGTTGGTCAGGCTGAAAAGTTTGGGAACCACTGCTCTAAGTGATAAGTGAATTTCGTTTTTTAAATATGTTTTATGTGCAGTTTTTTAGGGCTTTTATGTTTTCTGTAAAGATTGGTATGCTGAAAATAATTTCATGTTTTGCATAAAGCATGAGGTTTTGGTTAGTAATTGATTGGGAGAATAACAAATGACTGAATTAAATAGTGGGGCGCCTCTGTCAGTGCGCCCCAGAGCAGCTGTGGCTACATCGTAGCTCATCCCCATCAGTGTGTGAATGTGTGTGAATGGATGAATGATACACTGTAGTGTAAAGCATTTTGGAGTCCTTACTCTGAGAGGCGCTATACAAGTGCGGATCATTTATCATTTATAGTGTTGATCAGGCAGAGCTTTGTTTCCAGCGTTCCACTTCATAATGGCTTCAAACACGTATATAAAAGTGTTAGTTTTTACGTAAACCATTGGATGGACTTACACAAACTGACTGAGCTCTAGTTAAGGCGCTTGCAATAGTTTGTGTGTGTGTGTGTGTGTGTGGGGGGGGGGGGGGGGTTACATTGGAACTTTGTCCCCCCCCAGTTTGAAAATCCTATCTGCGCCTCTGCCTACAACCCGGACTTGGATAAGTGAGTGAGAACGGGTGGACAGATGGTGCGGGTAATAAGAAGAATCAGTTTACACTAAGAAGGCAGTTTTGCAGTTACAGAAACCTGCAGATAATTTATTTGTTTATGGGAAATGACTTTGTGCCCAAGTGTTTTACAACCGGTGTCCTCTCATGTTGAACATGTAAAAACCGTTTTTGTCTGTCCAGCGCTGGCACCACTCTGCGCCCTGAAGGGAATCAGACTATATCCTGGGTTATCGGGTTACTCCGCCAGGTGTTGGAGCTCAAAGGGATGTTACCTGAGCAGCTGAGAGGTATTGGAAGGTTTGGAAGGGCAGGTAGGCCATCAGGTTTCCAGTGTCATTGATGAGAGATTTCGGACCACTTGTGATGTTGGCGGGGGTCAAGGACTTGCTGTACCACTGTCCAAACGCATCCTTCTGGGCTTGGCTCATGCTGTCCAACATTTTGCTGATGGCATCTTTTCTAAAAGATCATTTGAAAAGTAACAATTAGGCTTAGATGATGTTGCAGAGTAGTTGTAGTTAATGCATGAAAAATGTGGCCGTCGTCGTTTTCAGACCAAAATAAACTAAAGACACGCCACAAATATCAGATTTGTGATTTTAAATAGGATGTTTATTGTTCGTGGAGTTAATAGATGTGATAAATGATACTCTTTGACATAAAGGAATAATGTTATTCTCTATTTCCTCTCAGATTAACACAACAAACAGAAATACCTTGTAATCAACTAAATACTGTCTCTAAAATGGGAAAAGATTTCTTCAGGTGGAAGCTCACAACAAATACAGGATCTTTCCAGACTGAAATCTAGTCAGCGAACAAGCTTCCTTTACCGTTTTATAAAACATGCATGTGCCTGGCACCCTGTGGCACCATGACACAACACCTCTCATGGTCGTCCGACACCCGAGGCGAGCTCAGTCAGAAGCACAACGTTAGCGGGACTGCTTTGTGAAGCGTTGCTAAAATCTAAGGGTTCGCATCCAGAGCACATCGAATGATTAAAGGACAAAATCTCAGCTGAATGTTTTATACAAGTAGCTGTTCTGCTTCCAATTGAAATACGACACAAATGTAAACGTAATTATATCTATAAAAAAGAATCATGTCTATCTTTGTTCATTTTAAAACCATTTTGATTACAAATGCGACAGTTTGGGACATAGTATGACTTAGAATACAGTACAATAGACTATTAATCCCACAGTGGGGAAATTCACTCGTTACTGAAGCAAAACAATAATAACTAAAGTACAGGTAAATACACATAGGCAGTAAGCTATTATTTTAATCTTCAGATACTGCAACAAGACTTCCCAGGTGGTGAATTAAAATGTCCATCCGTCCATCCATTTTAGTCCGCTTACCCGGCGTTGGGTCCTCCCGATTGGACGTGCCCAGGAAACCTCATGAGGGAGGCATCCAGGAGGCACCCTAACCAGATACCCGAGCCAACTCAACTGGCTCCTCTCGAAGTGAAGGAGCAGTGGATCTACTCCAAGCCCCTCCTGGATGGCCAAGACTCTCATCCTATCTCTAAGGGACAGCCCAGCCTCCCTGTGGAGAAGACTAATTTCTGCCGCTTGTATCTGCGATCGTGTTCTTTCTGTCACTACCCAAAGCTCATACCATACCATACCAACTTTATTTATAAAGCACATTTAAAAACGGCATGGCAGCCGACCAAAGTGCTGTACAGAATAAAAAGTAAAAACACAATATAAAGCAATACACGGTCAACAATAAAATGCACAACAAGGCAGATAATCACAGTCAATAAAAAGACACATAATAAAATAATAAAAGTCAGGGATTTAACAATGCCTGGTCGTAAAAGTGAGCCTTAAGCAGCGACTTGAACCGGAGGAGGGATGGTGCCAGCCTCACTGAAGGAGGAAGAGCATTCCAGAGTGTCGGAGCAGCGTAGACAAAAGCACGCTGCCCCCGCGTTTTGTGTTTCATTGATGGAACACGAAGCAGCAGGCAATCAGCAGACCTCAAAGCCCAGTTTGGCACATAACGAGTGACAAGATCCGACAGGTAATCCGGAGCCAGACCGTTCAGGGCCTTAAAAACAAAAATCAGGATTTTAAACTTGACTCTGAAGTTTACGGGTAGCCAGTGGAGCCGCGCCAGTACAGGTGTGATATGGTCTCTTCTAGGGGTGTTTGTTTAAAACCTGGCTGCCGCGTTCTGTACGACCTGAAGCCTGTTGAGAGCGGAGGCAGGTAAGCCAATTAAAATGGAATTTGCATAACCCAGTCGGGAGATGATAAAAGCATGAATTACAGATTCCAGGTGTGCTCGTTTCAGGATCGGTTTTAAGCGAACTAGTCCGCGCAGCTGATAAAAACACGATCTGACCACTGCGTTAATCTGAGGGCCCATGGAAAAGTGTGTATCCAGTTTCACCCCCAGGTTGGTAACACACTGCTTGAGGTCATAAGGGAGAGTGGCCAAATCAGAAGATACGTGTGTGGTTTTGTTAGGGGTCATCAGGAGTGCCTCAGACTTAGGATCATTTAGCTTAAGGAAATTGTTGGCAAGCCAAACCCTCACTTCAGCCAAACATTGGTCCAGAAGAGAGAGGGAGCCTGGTTTGTACAAAGCCAGGTAGATCTGGCAATCATCTGCATAAATATGATAGCCCAGGCCATATTTCCTCAGGATGAAACCCAGGGGGAGGAGGTAAATTGAAAACAGGAGAGTCCCAAGCACAGATCCCTGCGGGACTCCCCATGGAAGTGGAAGGGATGTAGAGGAACAATTACTCAACTGAACCTTGAAAACTCTGTTTCACAGATATGAGCAGAACCACTGAAGTGAGGTACCCCTTAGCCCTACCCATGACTCAAGTCTATCCAGCAAAATATCATGGTCAACGGTATCAAATGCTGCAGAAAGATCTAATAGTAAGAGCAAAACAGGCGGCACAGAGTCAGAAGCCACCAGGATGTCATTGGTCACGCGAAGAAGGGCTGATTCGGTACTGTGAAGTGGCCTAAACCCAGACTGGAACATATCAACCAGAGAAAAGCTATTCATGTGTGCTGTAATCTGTAAATAGACAATCTTTTCAAGGACCTTAGACAAAAACGGTAGTTTGGAGATTGGCCAAAAGTTTGCAAGTTTTGAGCTGTCTAAACCAGGTTTTTTTTTAAATTGGTTGCACAACCGCCTTTTTAAAAGAAGTAGGAAACACCCCAGTGGCCAAGCTAGAGTTAAAAATGTCTAAAATTGTGGGGCCCAAAATAGGGATGATCTCACCCACCATCCTCGGGGGAGAGGGTCCTGCTGGTTTCATATTTCCAATCAGATCTGACAATTCACTAAGAGATATGGGAGTAAAGTTACAGAATGAGGGAGGTTCTGGTGGTACATCAGGACAGCCAGATCCTGGTTGCACAAGACTATCCCTAATGTCCCGGACTTTGTGAAGAAAGAAAGTCTGGAGCTCAGCAGACAATGACACAGAGGGATCAACACTACCAGGTTCAGTTAATGACAAGATGGAGTTGACAGTGCTATAAAGTTTATGCTGATCACCCTGATGCTGAGAGATTATGCATGCAAAGTATTTGTTCCTGGCTGATCTAACACTGCTCTGATACAGGTCAAGGGCATCCATCAGAAGCTGCTGTGAGATTAGTAGCTTGCCCTTTTTCCACCTTCTTTCCAGCGCCCTACAACACCGCCTGCCGCGTCGCCACCACTTCCACCGCGGCCCCAACAGGCCGCAGGCGGAGGAGAGGAGGAAGGGCGGAACTCCATCAAACAGGCTGCCAAACGATTGCTTGAATGAGGCATAGTGAAGTTGGAGAGACTCGAACCTCTGCCGGAGATCCAGAAGAGTAGCTCGGTCATAGGTGAGGGTGGGACAGGAATCAGCCACCGGGAGACTCAAAAACAGTGACAAAAGCACAAAAAGCACAAACGGCAAACGGGAAACCAGACGGCAAGCCACAACAGACGGCGCCATCTTGGATACCAAATCATGACCATAGGTGACGGTAGGAATGTAGGTCGACCGGTAAAACAAGAACTTCACCTTCTGACTCAGCTCCCTGTTCACCACAACAGACCGGTACAACGCCCACTTCACTGCAGACGCAGCACCAATCCGCCTATAAATCTTGCGTTGCAGCTTCCCTCACTCGTGAACAAGACCCCGAGATACTTAAATAAAAGATGTACAACAGATTTTCCTTGTGAATGAAATAGCATTTTCTTAGTTTTTTTTTTTTTTTTTCATGTTATAGATTCCAGGGGTGCCCAGTCCTGGTCCTGGAGGGTCGGTATCCAGCACATTTTAGTGGTTTCTCTGCTCCAACACGCTTGATTCAGTGATTGAATCACCTGTGCAGCAGCCCATCAGACCCTGCAGAAGCTTGTTAATTACCGGCTGATTAAACCAGGTGTGTTGAAACACAGTTAAAGCTAAAACATGCTGATACCAGCCCTCCAGGACCGGGATTGTGTACCTCTGTTACGGCCATTGCTCATTCAGTCATTTCAGTTTATTGCTGTTTTATTCCTGTTGATGCTGACCGTCTTATTTCCTTTGCTGTCTTTTATACGACTTTATGAAAAGGGCTTAATAAACAAAGATTGATCGACGATGAGAAAAGTTGTCAAGAATCTCTTAATCGGAAATTGCATAAATTAGTTTACTAGAAGATATTATAAACACATTTCACCATAATTGAGGTGTTTGCAATTAGAGATGTTATTACATATTATAAAGAGTATAAAAATGTTTGCACTGATGTATTGTGGGTAAGAAGGGAGCCACTGTGTTCCAATCTGAAACGCATTGAAGCATTGATGTAAAAAAAATGGAACAATAAATTAAAAAAATAAAGAAAAAACAAAGTGTGCTAGAATTCCAGGAAAAGACCACCTATTCAGTCATCATAATGAGACAGAATCAGAGCCTGGCACATCATCCTATATATGTGTCTTTCTGCTTCTGCAAAGGTCTCTCTAGATTTTGCAGCTAACAGAATTAATGAACCAAAGCTAAATGTCAGAACTGAATGTTCAGTATCGGTGAAGTAATTACTTACACATTTCTGTCACCCTGTAAGGGGGGCAGCGCCACAATATCAGCTGGACTGGCTGCAATCAGCAGGGGGACCAGCTCCAGAAAGGTCTTTCCGTCTGCGGCCATTTGGGTTTGGAGTAGCACCGACACCATGGTGGACAGGTACGCATCAGATAGCTTACAGAGGCAAGAACAGTGAGATTATATCTGATATGTAGTATAATAGATTAAAGAGGTGCAACGTAGAGTTTCTGTTGTCAGGTAGGATGTGATTTACCTGCAGACTGCTTTTAAACATGCTGTAGTACTGCAGAATCAGTCTGATGGTGCTCATCTGTGCTGAAGTTAACACAGGCTTCACGTTGCTCAGTGGTAAACTGAAGTACTCCTATGCATTATTTTCAAAAGTACAAAAAAAGGTGTAAAGATTCAAACTTTAAAGGCTCACTACTGATCTCATCTATCTATCTAATCAGCATCATTTAAAATGATGTCCAACCTTTGCAAAAAGGAGATCGTTGGTGGTCAGTTCTCGGGCCGTCTGCAGCAAACTGCCGATCAACTTCTGGAACAGGAAGACAAAAACACGTTTGCACACATCTGTATTCATTAAGTGTTTAGTGGCACTGGAACAGGAAATTACAGATTTTTATGTCATATTTATTATAATTAAGTTTTTTATTCCATTGAACAGTTTCAAACATTTTTGTAGAACACATTCTCTGGTTGGTCTGCATTGTGGCGCAATTAGTGGCACTGCTGCCTTTCAGCGAGAAGGTTGCAGGTTCAATTCCTGGCTGAGGCTTTTCTATTTGGAGTTTGCATGTTCACCCCATGCATGCATGGGTTTTGTCATGGTACTCCTATTTCCGATTCTGACCCATGTCACATTCGTTTGGCCTTCAGCCTTCCATCACACCACGAGTACGATCGATTTAAACAAGGCTAGAAACGATTAGCTGCTTTCTGCAGAGTAGTCATTGCACAGGTTGTTTTTCCAGTTAGGAATACACCTATGCACCAGTGAGTCTCGACACACTGGAGATGTAGGCCTTGACCTTGGTTTGGGCCAATTGTAGGAACTGATGTAGGCAGAAGCTCGGGAGATCTTTTGGGGAATGCTCATGACTGGTGGTTTTAGGGTCGGGGGCTATGTCTTTGTATGGAGTGTATCATTAACCCTGATGAACCTAATATGTTAGGTAGATTACAGGCTTGTCTTAAAGACATAAAAAAATTGGATAACTAACCGTTCTATTTTTAAATCAACACAAGACTGAAGTTCTCATCTTTTGACCAGAACTCAGAAAGTCCACAGAATGTAGTTAAAAGTCTTCATCTTGTCCAAAACGCTGCAGCTAGAGTTCTGATGAGAATTAAAAAGAGAGATCATATCTATCCTGTCTTGGCTTCCCTACATTGGCTACCTGTTAAATTCAGAATAGATTTTAAGATCCCCTTCCTCACACATAAAGCTCGTAATAATCAAGTTCCATCACACATCAGTGATCTGATTGTTCCATATGTTCCTAACCGAGCACTTCGCTCTCAGCCTGCAGGTTTACTGGTGGTTCCCAGAATATCTAAAAATAAGACGGGAGGAAGATCTTTTCGCTATCAGGCTCCTCTCCTGTGGAACCAGCTCCCAGCTTTAGTCTGTGAGGCAGACACCTTGTCTACTTTTAAGACTAGGCTTAAAACATTTTTATTTGATACGGCCAATGGTTAAAATCTGATGTTAGCCTAAATCTGGACAAGTGGAGTAGAGGGAGGTGGAGTGTACAGTCGGTAAAGACGGCTCTCCCTTGCCCTGACTCCAACATGCCTCCATCTAAATAGGATAGATTATCCAGAGTTATCTCTGTAGTTATGCTGCTATAGGCTTAGACTGCTGGAGCACACACTGACCACTTTTCACACTCTACTACTTTCTTCTACAATCTGCTCTTTAACTGTATTATTTCCTGCTACTTCAGCTGTTAACTTTATTTTCTCTCTAAGTGTTTTTCTCCCCAGAAGAAGCTACAATGATGTTCTGCTGAGCTGTGGTGGCCTCATGGAGGGGGCCATCGTCTAGCACACTGCTGCTAACCACTAAAACATTCTCCTTCTCCTGATAATAACTTTTTGGTTTCCTTGACTTTTGGTGTGCTAATACTAGTTTATCCGTTTAATTATAGATCCACTAGGATAAATACAATAAAGTTTATCTTTCACCAAATACAATATTTACTAAGACATCACAATATAACTATAGACACATTGTGTGTGTGTGTGTGTGTGTGTGTGTGTGTGTGTGTGTGTGTGTGTGTGTGTGTGTGTGTGTGTGTGTGTGTGTGTGTGTGTGTGTGTGTGTGTGTGTGTGTGTGTGTGTGTGTGTGTGTGTGTGTGTGTATGTGTGTGTTCTGCCTTCTTGATCCCCAGTGAGTCGTGGAGGATGGCTGCTCATACTGAGTCAGGATCCTCTGGAGGTTTCTTCCTGTTAAAAGGGAGTTTTCCTCTCTACTGTCGTTGCATGCTTGCTTAGTATGAGGATTGCTGTAAAGACTCTGACACTAGTCAGTGACTTGATGTAATTTGCTGGGTTCCTTATATAGGAAACTTTTTACTGACTGGCTTAATGAACTGGACTGTATTGGAATGTTTACTGTGTGAAGTACCTTGAGACGACCCTTGTCGTGATTTGGCGCTATATAAATAAACTTGAAGTCAAATCAAAGTGTGTGTAGAATAAAACAACCAGGTAACAAGGTCCAGTACTGAGGAGATTCATGAGGAGAGAGCCTTTTGTGTCAATGATGCAACACTTATATAATATCAGTTTGGAATGAATCATTTTTACACCTGATGGATTTTTCAGGAGGGGGGGGGTCCTGAAAATTCTCAAAAGTACAAAGAAACCCTTTTGAAACATTCTCAGAAAGGTTGGAGAAACATTATTAATGACATTGAGAATGTTATATGTTTGCCCCTTGAAAGATACAAAAGCAGGAACAAAACTTTAGCACGGTACTGAGAGCTTTTGCTAAATCAGATGTGAGGCTGTGGAGATTACGCTCGGGGTACTGATCACATCAGTATCAGTGACAGTAACGTAACCAGACACCCGCTACAAGCAGGAGGGCAATGGTGCACAAACACTGTCTGATTTGATTATATCAATTAAGATGTAATTTAGGACCTCGTCAGCATCTATTAACACCAAACTCAGAGTATAAAACAATGAATAAGTCTGAGAAACTAGTGGCTTGAAGACAAAAGCCTTCTGAATGGTTTCTGTTTAGAGAAATAGCTTTTATTTATTCTATTGGCGTCAAGCTAACAGTGGTCTTAACATAGCCACAGCAAACACAAACCACCTACCCCAAAGCACTGCAGCACCACCCTCTTATTGTCCTGGTTGGGTTCTGTCATCAGGTAGTTGAACACAGACTCGAGGACACTTTGTCCAATGGTCTCATTGATGTGCCAAATGGGGCCCAGGGAGTCCTCCACAGCCAGGAGGATCACCACAGTGGTGGCGACTGCTTGGTTCAACACTTTAGTCACAGACGTAGTCAGCAAATCCTGAATCTTGAGGCTCAGATTCTCCACCCAGCAGCGAACGATCATCTGCACCATCATGTTCTGAGTGGCACAAGGCTGACAGTCTGAGATGAAGCTGTTTGGGCAGGTCCACTTGAACTGTTTCATCAGATTTGTTGCCAAACAAAAATCAGGGCTTGTAGCATTGGTGCTGTTGGCTGTAGTGGTGTAGTTGTTGTACGTCGTACATATTCTGCCTACCCAGGCTTTGGATAGGTCTTGGGAGAAGAGCCAGAGGAGCCCACTGCTCTGGCAGATAAATGAGAGGAAACGGGCCTGGTCACGCTCCCAGCACTGGCTCAAGACCATTGCATTTGGGGGAGACATGATCCAGCTGCTGTACAGACACTGTCCAGAGGTGTTAAAGACAGTCTGTCCTCCGCCCTGTCCTCCAGCTCCAGCTCCTCCTCCTCCTCCTCCTCCACCAGGAGGAATGGTTGAATGATTGGCACAGTAGTTTACCAACCAGTGGTTGTCCTGATTGGCCAGCAGGTTCTGGAGGACTGTAATATTCACACAGACTTTGGAGGTGAAGTTAAGTGGGTCCTCTTCAGAACAGAGAGCTACCTCAGTCATGTCCACGATGATGGGACTGGCCCAGGCCGTGTAGTTACACATCTGAAGTAGGAGTAGGAAACAAAGTATGAGGTCAATCAACTGGTCACCTGAAATTCATTTTTAAATTTTAAGGTAAAAATTTGCTTTGACTTTATACTTGAACTGAAAGAATTGAGTGAGTTGACATGAAACTCTCCCCAGTGGTTCGTTCTCAGCAACTTAAAAGACTTTAGGGAACATTTTTATGTTTCTATCAGACTAAATTCGTCAGTTTTTGAACCAGATAAATATTGCTGGGTGGTAAAAAAAAAAACTCACCTGTGGCGTCACAGTAATCGCTATTTCTTGCACATTGGTGCAGGTGATGGAAAGCCATTGGTTCAGAGGGTTTTGTAGCAGATTTTCAATCACAGACGCCACGCAGCAAACATTCTTAAAAAAGGCAGCCTGATCATTCTGCCAACATAAGGCGACAAATGAATCATCCACCTGCCGTTGTCCCCACGTGTGGTAGTCGCACCAGGCAGCCCAGTTGAGCTGCTGCATCGTTGGCGGCTGCGTCGTTGGCCCTGGAGGCAGAGCCGTGCTGCAATGCGTCCCGAGCCACGAGAGGTCTTTGTTGAGAAGAAGAGCATTCAGAAAGGTTTTATTGGCGCAAACCGCACTCGTGAATCCAGCCTGATCAAAGAGGATGCACTGTGACACAACGTCTGTGGTAATCTGCATCACGTCGTCCCACGTCGAGTACTGACAAAAGTCCAGTGGTATTGGGGCCGGGTCAAAGGTCGGAGGAGGTGAGTTGGAGCAGTTGGGCATTAACTGCCAGTTCCCCGGGTTGGAGAACAGAAGCATTAAGAACCCAACATTGTTGCAGATGAGGTTGGTGAGTCTGACTTGATCAAGGCTCAGGCAGAACCCCAGCAAGGCGGGGTCTACCAGCTGAGAGGGCTGGGCCAACCACTGGTCGTACACACAGAACTGACTCACCAGGAATCCAGGGTCCACAGGGGAGCTGGCACAGTATCCATACAGCCAGACGTTCGTCTGGTCTGAAAGCAGCTTCTTCATCAACAACGAGTTGTTACACACCTGCCTCACAAATCCAGCACGATCATTAATGCTGCACAGAGACACAAGATCAGGGTTCACCGCGCTGTTCCCAGACCAGGTGCTGTAGTTGCAGGAGGGCTGCAGGTTTGAGATGCCACGGCCGACTTGATGGAATGCAGGTGAAGACTGATGCAGAGATGTGACAAGCGGAGGAAGCATCGTGGCCTCAACAGCGCAGTCGGACGAGTGGATGAGCGATGACACCACGAGCTCGATAATAAAACACATGTTGCTCCACACAAGCTCTATTTGGCTGCTGCTGAGCGAGCTCAGTGCCTGACAAAAGGCGAGCAGAGATGCAGAAGATTTGTGTCCTGAACCCATGAGGACGTCAGCACACAGCGTGTCTTTCAGAGAGGCCAGGTCAGGGTTAGCACAATCTAGTTTATAGTTCAGATTGTGGTCATTCGTAGTTGAGGCACTGCCTTGGAGCGGAGTGGTGAAGGAATTCTGGCAGTTCTGCCCTGGGAACATGTATGGAAGCTGATTTGGGGGAAACAGGTGTTTCAGGAGGATGTCGATGAGTGGAGGACTGAAGGACCAGCTCACGTTGTGCTTTAGTCCCCTACAAAAAAGGGAAAATGGTATTATTATAAAATCTAAAGATATGATCTAGATTAAGTGAGAGAATTTAGTTTTAAAGGGAATTATGAAAGGCAAGGGTGGAAAGCAAACATCAAACCCTATTTTAGTACATTTTCATTATCTTTCAGAGCTTTCTTTCAACACTGATCAGTAAATGATAAATGACGCGCACTTGTATAGCGCCTCTCAGAGTAAGGACTCCAAAGCGCTTTACACTACAGTGTATCATTCATCCATTCACACACTGATGGTGATGAGCTACAATGTAGCCACAGCTGCAGTAGTGAGCAAGAGCGTGGGTGAAGATGTCAGTGAAATAAGAAATACAGAATTATGTAATGTTTAAACAAAACTGGAGTGAAAACTAAGGGACTGCAAGATGTTTTCAGTACCGCGCATCTAGAAAATTGAAACAGAGAGACGTGACAAAACACACACACAAACACACACACACACACACACATTTACCAAGTTTGTTCAAAAGAATAAAGATGAATGTTGTGCAGAATGAACCGAGGTCATGCTAGTGACGTGGGTTCATTTTTTACTTTGTTGGAAGCTAATTTCAAAATTAACAGTTGAAACTGGTCCTCCCTCTGGGAGGGGCTCAGAGTAGACCCGCTGCTCCTCCACACCGAGAGGAGCCAGTCGAGGTGGCTCAGGCATCTGGTCAGGATGACTCCTTGATGCCTCCCTGGTGAGGATTTCCGGGCACGTCCAACCACGAATAGACCTAACGGAAGACCCAGGACAACCTGGAGAGACTATGTCTCTCGGCTGGCCAGGGAACGCCTTAGGATTCCCCCAGAGGAGCTGGCCCAAGTAGCTGGGGAGAGGGAAGTGGGCCTCTCTGCTTAGACTGCTAGCCCCACAACCCAACCCCGGATAAGTGGATGAATGTCAGTAATTCATCTTAGACTGAGAGACCATCTAAAGTGTCGGGAACCCCATGCAGGTGTTTTGGATTCATTAGCCAATTAGAGTGTGACACTTTGAATCTAGAATATTAAGTCTTTCCACAATATTCTAATTCTCAGAGATTTTAATGTGATACTTTGCAACTTTTTGAATATTTGAAATCATTTTCTTGAGCTATTTGTTAAAATGACCCTTTACAGCAGGGGTATTCAGTTCTGGTCGCGGAGGGCCAGTGTGCAGCACATTTTAGCTTTAACTCGGTTTCAACACACCTGATTTCAATCAGCAGGTAATTAACATGCTTCTGTAGAGCCTGATGAGCGGCTGCGCAGGTGATTCAACCATTGAATCAAGTGTGATGGAGCAGAGAAACCAGTTAAACCTGCTGGATACCAGCCCTCCAGGCCCAAAGTTGAATACTCCTGCTTTACAGGGTTAATTAAAGGTCACGCAGCCTCACCACCCCATGTGGTCAGAATATTCCACTTGCAACTTTAGAGTTGCCGGTTCGGTCTGTTTGGACTTAGAAAAAAAAAATTGAGCTGACAAAAAGGACATTAAGGAAGGCTGGGGAGATGATTCTGCTGTTAGATTAAGGTGTTAAAAAGATGAAAGCACAGCCAGGAGATAGATTTTGGTTTCGGTTCTACAAACAGACACTAGGGGGAGCTAAAAGCAAGCCCAAACTGTCTAGTCTCCTTTAAATTTGGGATTTTCATAGACTGTAAGCCACAATTGTCACAATTATGACAAATAAAAGCTGAAATATCTGGATATGCATGGAATGATGTTGTCTCGTGTATTAGTTTCACCTTTAATGTCAATTACTGAAATAAATGAACTTCCAAGATATTCTAATTTATCGAGTTTTACCTGTCGATAAGATGTTTTTGTCAAGGAAGAAGAATAATTTACAGGAGCATGCTTACTGTGTGCTGCACAATTGTCCTATGTAGTTCATTAGTTCTGATGAAGACTGTGTTTCTAGCGTGGTGGTTAGATTTGCTCAGGACTGTCTCGGCCTCTGGGCTGTATACATATGCTGGGATGCCTTGTCTCTTCTGTTTTGCCACAAACTTTAATCTCAAATAAACTGAGCACAAAAGTTCAGACGTTTCTGTTTGGTTGATTGCTTCTTTGTTAAGCTCGTGAGGACTGGACATTTGTGATGAACAATAAAGCTAAACGTAGCATCTTATAAAAGTTTAACAGGAGAAAACCGAACTCACCACATAATTAGCTGCTTGAGATCTCCTGCAGAACAAGTAAAAAAAAGCAACAATTAGTGAAAACATCCACCATCAAACTACAGGGAGTGCAGAATTATTATGCAAATGAGTATTTTGTCCACATCATCCTCTTCATGCATGTTGTCTTACTCCAAGCTGTATAGGCTCGAAAGCCTACTACCAGTTAAGCATATTAGGTGATGTGCATCTCTGTAATGAGAAGGGGTGTGGTCTAATGACATCAACACCCTATATCAGGTGTGCATAATTATTAGGCAACTTCCTTTCCTTTGGCAAAATGGGTCAAAAGAAGGACTTGACAGGCTCAAAAAAGTCGAAAATAGTGAGATATCTTGCAGAGGGATGCAGTAGTCTTAAAATTGCAAAGCTTCTGAAGCGTGATCATCGAACAATCAAGCGTTTCATTCAAAATAGTCAACAAGGTCGCAAGAAGCGTGTGGACAAACCAAGGAGCAAAATAACTGCCCATGAACTGAGAAAAGTCAAGCGTGCAGCTGCCAAGATGCCACTTGCCACCAGTTTGGCCATTTTTCAGAGCTGCAACATCACTGGAGTGCCCAAAAGCACAAGGTGTGCAATACTCAGAGACATGGCCAAGGTAAGAAAGGCTGAAAGACGACCACCACTGAACAAGACACACAAGCTGAAACGTCAAGACTGGGCCAAGAAACATCTCAAGACTGATTTTTCTAAGGTTTTATGGACTGATGAAATGAGAGTGAGTCTTGATGGGCCAGATGGATGGGCCCGTGGCTGGATTGGTAAAGGGCAGAGAGCTCCAGTCCGACTCAGACGCCAGCAAGGTGGAGGTGGAGTACTGGTTTGGGCTGGTATCATCAAAGATGAGCTTGTGGGGCCTTTTCAGGTTGAGGAT